TCAATTTGCATCCCTTATCTAATGGGAGCAGTGATACAGTGATAACCATTTTGGTTAAGAAATAATTCATGAGGTCTCTAAACAAACCACTTGCCTTGGAGATCAATTCATCGTGATTGGCTAGATGGGCTCTGCAGTGGATACAGCTGTAGGTTCGATGACAGTTTGGCAGGTAAGCCTGGAACGTTTTTGATTTTGTCATTTTTACCATCTCTGCTGGTGGCTCCTCACTCAGCTCAGGGCTGGCACTTGAAGAATTACAACTTTGCTGAACTCGCTGACAAAAGAAACACTGGAATATGCAAGCAAAAGCCGTTGTTGTTCTGGAGTGTGTGTGGCACTTTCCACACAAGTGACAGAAGAGAAACAGTCACAACCTGTAGGTGAAAAGAACAGAACAATTAGCAGTTTACAAGGCCAGTATAAACTTGTTATTCATCAATTCTAGACAAGGGAAGGTGTTATTTAGAGAAAATGCCTGGCTGCACTACAGGCCCCTTCTATGAATCTGCGCGATTCAAGTTCCCCTCAACAGAGCAACAAGCAGTTCTATTCCACTAGTGGCTTCTACTACATCACACTTCTAATGAAGGAGGAGATTCAAACAGTTCTCCATGAAACACAACCGCTTTTACAATATACCAGGTATACTCTTTAAGGCATCCATGCAGAAAACTACAGCAAAAAGCAGGGTATTAGAGAAAGTGAATTGTCTTTGAAGTTCCAGTGGTCAGTTCCAACACAGCAAGTAACAAGGCATCTTGGAAAACATGTGCCATGTCCAACAATAAATATACAACAGATATTTTCTTTCAACAAAAATCTTGCTGTATCACATCTGGCTTTAAGTCAAATACCAAGTAAGATGTTGCCACCCTACTCAAGGATCCATGTCTCCTCCTCATTCAAGCTCAGCAGAGTTATGCCTTCAGGCAAAGACCTTTTTGACCAGTGTTGTGATCAAATCTAGTCAGGTACTTCCTCACTCTACTAGAATTGTCTTAATGGATGCTACCAAAATCACAGATAATAAAAGCTAAATTCTACACAGAGAATACCCAATTGCATTCCTAATCCTCAGAGTGCCTTTAAGAGACATTACATACATAGAGAAGGCCAGACTTTCCTGCTACACTGGAAAGCAAGCTTTTTTCAGAGTTTGCCTGAAAATTACATATTCTAAATATTCATAACATCTACTGATCTGTCAAAGGCCAGTTACCACACTATATGCGTCAAGCTAATGAGCAATCCAAACATGAACACTGCACAGTCACTTATGTCATCAACTATCAGATGAGCAACAGAGTAGGTCAATAGCACAAACACAGAAATTAGAGCCAATATAAAGAATTTACAGTATCTTGATCCAGCTATTAAAACGACCATGCAAAACACTTATCACAGTTGTAAGTTGTGTGCAGGGCAGCAGTTAACACTCTTCTAGCAGTAGGATACTAGTTATACAAATAGAGCAGATAATGAAAGCCACATAAATTAAAGATTGTTTATAGGAAGCAGTCACTGTGCTTCGAAAGTAGTTTTGAGAAAGTAATCTGTACAGCAGGCCTAGCACAAGAGTCAGCCACAGCAAGATTTAAAGGGGTTTGGTTTTGTTTTTTGTTTGGTTTTTTTTTTTTTTAATCTTAAACTTGTAACTGCAGCAGGAAAATACTCAAGAACTACTGAAGGCCTTGCTACAAGACAATTTCATACACAAAGAATTACAAAGGCAAAGATAAGCCACAAACAAAACATGTAATAGAACATACGCAATCCAAAAAAATAAGCAACAATGGGAACAAGTTATCATCCAAAGCACATATCTACACATCAGAATGATTGGACTTTTATTAGTTACTGAAAAGGAAAACAGATTTGGTAAGGAATAGATGAATAGGTTTGAAGTATTAACTCAGCCTAAAGAGCAGAACTTAATAATTAATACAGTCATTTAAATATTATATTCATATTGTCACAAGATAATTTAATTATAACTGCAAAGGGAAGAATGATTACAGCGTTCAGGGAAAAGAACCTGCTTCTGTAGAACTGCCAGATATCAAGTCATATTTATGAGGTAACAGATTATAGGAGAAAGACAATACAAGAAATATAATCCTGGAAGTTAAGCATGAGGTTCCCTTTAAATTCCCTGCTTGAACTCTTAATGTTAAGAAAGATACAGAAATGAAAAATGTTCAGAGAGATGGAAAAGAACCCCCAGCGTTTCAGAATGAAAGCAAACATGTTCTGACTTTGGATTAGACCCTTTCGATCAGTAATTGAAGCATGAGTTCAATGCTTGCAAAAGTTCATTAAGTTGAACGTAAGAGGAAAATATTTTTCAAGGCATTCCTAGAAGCTCTTTTAATTCACACTTCTTAAGGCAATCTGAACTCTTGCAGACTAAACATACTGAGTCCTTCAACTACAGAAACTAAAGAATTCCAAAGCTCGTTTGACAGAATTGTATTTGATATTGCCCTCTTCAAAAAGAGTCCAATCTTAAGTGTTTGAAATACACTGTAAGAATCACAGGACTCATTGCTTTGTGATGTTAAAGGCAAGATTCAAAACATGAACCATTTTGTAGTTGCTCTAGTAACGGTGAATAAATCCAGCCTCACTTCACTGTTGAGCAGTAGCAGTTTCCGCAGCTGCTGTTCAGTATTTTGTGGAAAGCAGTGTAGAAACCCGAGGCAACTATTTTGTTCTCAGTCTTAGACAACAGCACAGTCTGTGCTTTGGTCATGCACATGACTGCTAGGTTTCCTGAAGATCTAAGCAATTTGAAAGAAATTGCAAAATTAAGTGCAAAAACAAGCATACAGGTTGCCGCCTATCCACTTCTAAATGGCTGTCCAGATCCTGTTTTTGGGTGACTTGTACATGTACCTACCAGTCTACAAACAACAGGAACCTCTGGCAGCACTAACTGCGTTCGCCATAGACTCGTACAGCCGAAGCCCGACAAGCAGATCTCCTCGCCTTCCCCGCCCCGGCACACTGCCCGAGCAGCCTGCCCTCAGGGCCGGCCCCTTGCCCCGAAAGCCAACAGCCGGTTTTAGGGGGGTGAATAATGAACAGCCCCGTCCCGCTGGCCGCACCTGTGACGTCACCGGGGCAGGGCGCCGGGCGGCCAATGGGGCGGGGGGGAGGCCCCGCCCCGCCCGGTTCCCGGATGTGTAAACAAACACCCCGATAAGCGTGGCGGGGGGGGGGGGGGGGGGGCGGCCCGCGGCCTGCGGGACCGCGCCGCCGCGGGAGCTGCCTACCGGGCACCAGCGAGGAAAAACACTTCCCTTGTCTGCGTGGGGATCTTCACACCGCTGCCTGGAACCACACACGCGCATATAGAGAAATTAAATGTGTAAGAAATGAGCCGCTCCGTCATTCTTTCTGGATTCAAGAATAAAGGAGTGACACAAAACAAGCCAAGAGCCTGACTAGCTCCGCAAAGCCGGACAAAGCCTGCGCACGCACTCTTAGTAAGCTGCGAAATGGTTACTCCGGCAGCGAAAAACCTCATAAAGTTAAAGACTGAGGCACAAGAGCCTCATTTCATTGTAGATACCGAGAAATAACAGGTAAAAAGATGTGAAGGGAAAGTTACTGGCAGAGAGTAGGTTTCCCTCCCGGGAGGGAGCAGCTGCTCCGTGCACGTTTAAGCCTTTTCCCCTCTCACTCCGGATCACAAAGCCGCCGCGGCGGGTGACGCCGTTCCCTTTTCTTTCCCACTCGCAGCGATCACCGTACGGTAACGGCTCGTTTCCCCCAGCCCACGGGCACGCTGCCGGGGGACTGCCGTGCACGGCCACCCAAACACGGGCCAGCTCTCTCCCAGCCCGCCGGCTCCACTCCCGGCGGACCCCGGGCAAGGGACTGACCGCACCGTTCCTGGGGCCCCCGGCAGGGCGGGAGCGAGAAAGGAAAACCCACCGGACCTCTGCTCACTGAGCGCAGCCTCGGCTCCCCCCCCCCCCCAATTATGTAAACCATCACCACCCGCCCTGTAACGAGCGGGCTACAGGCAAGCAGCGCTGCCGTCATTTCCAGGCGCTATAAATAGCGCCCGAGCCCTCCTCCCGCCAGCAAAGTTGCCTTGGCGGCCCCCCGCCCCGCGCACACAGGAAACCGCGGCCCCCCCGGCCGGGGGTGCAACACGGGGCTTCTCTCGCAGCCGCCTTTCGGTGCGTGTCCCCCCACCGCAAAAAAAAAAAAAAAAAAAAAAAAAAAAAAAAAAAAAATCCCAGCGAAAGGGAGAGCGGCCGGCTTCTCACACGCTCCAGTACTCACCGCTGCGCCGGCTCCGCTCCCCAGCCCGGACCCCGAAGAGCAGCGCGCCCGCGGGCCCCTCTCCCTCAGCGGGCAAGGGCAGGAGCCGAGGCGGGACCCCCGCTCCTCACGCGGCGGCCAGCGAGGGCTCAGCGCCGGGCCCTCACCGAAACACAAAGGAGGGGGAAAGGGGGCGGGTTCCCTCGCCTCGAAGGTACCTTCTCGGCGGCGGCCGGGAGTCACAGGCAGGGGCCGGGCGCGCGTCTCCCGCCCTGAGGGCCGAGGGGCGGCCGAGGCATCCTGCCGCCGCGCTGCGCTCCCGCCCGCCGCCGCCTTTGTTTTGCTTTCCCCCGGCCCGGGGGCGCTGCGGCCGTTAAACCCGCTCCCACCGCCGCCGGCAGCCAATCACCGCGCGCGCGCGCGCTCCCGCGCGCCCGCCCCGCCCCCCCGGGGGGCGGGCGAAGGAGCGGCGGCGACCGTTGCGGGGGTGGGGCGCGCGCGGGCTGGGGGAGCGCGCCGCTCCGCCCCCCTGGCTTCGTGGAGGGATGGGGGGGGTGCTCGGGGGCGGGGCGAGTGCGCCGCTTTGACTCCTCCCCTCCCGTTTCGCCCCTCCCCCCACGGGCAGTTGTGCGTGCAGCGAGGGGCGCGTGCAGCGAGCGCCCCGCCCCACCCCCGCTCCCTCCACGCCTCGGGCGCGCGGCGGTGCGAGGCGGGAAGCGGCGCCGGCGCGCGCTGGGGGCTGTCGCCCGCCCGGCCCCCGCTGAGGGACGGCGGCGCCCATCGCTGTGGCGGCGCGGCGGCTGGGAGGGGGGTGCGGGGAACAAAACGAACACGAGGTAAATTCTCAGCCGAAGCAGCCGGCTCGGTTATGATTTCATCCCGAGGTGTTTTCAGAGAGGTTTTCATGTGAAGGCACTGCAATAAGCCATATAGGATTGCTCAGACTTTTTTTTTTTTTTTTTTTTTTTTCCCTCACCAGGGAGTATTTGTCTTCCACGATTCTGCTGAAAGTAGGTAAAACCCTGGAAAATGACACGGGTCTGTTAAAAGTTCAGTGCTGTATTAACAACAAAAGCCCAGTTGGAGATTGGAAGGTAAGTAGGATAGGTCAGAGCACGTGTTTCCAGAAAGGGAGCTTTGTGAAGAGCTCGTTGCGTATAAAGGAAAAAAATACACCGGTTTTAAGGTATAAAAAGTTTGAATATTAAGGAAGCGAAAATACAACTCGCATACAAGGTCTGTTGGCAATGACCCTGTTTTCCTTAAAAAAGTAAATAAAAGCTAGCCCCTAGTTTATTTTGGCTGTACTCTTCTATTTCCACGGGCAGAGGGTATGGAGATACAAACTGAGGAAGTCTGTGACCAAGCTGTCATTTATACTTTGTACCCTGAGGCAGGGCTCTTGTCATGCTACAGAAATGCAGCATCAATAAAATTTTCTTTGCTGCCTTTTCTTGTCAGTAGTGACATCTTTTTAAAAAAAATCTTTAGCAAATTTTTTTTTTACCCAAGGGGCCTTGGTACTTTGCAGAATATTAGAGAAATTGAATCCATTACAATTCAGCTAGTGACTATAATCAATAAACTATATGCTAGTTGATTTTAATCTGCCTGTCCGTTTTTTAATATTCATATGTTTATACATTTTTTGTCACATGGTTCTTCCTTTTTAATGGCAAATTAATGGCCATTCTTGAAGAACTACAAAAAAGTCATGCACAATAATGAAGAAATATATTTTGGTGAAATGGCAGGAAACAAACATCTGTGAGAGTATTTCCAGTAGGGCTTTTATTGCAATTTTCCAATCGTCTCTCTAGCTCCAGTGCTGGTAGCTGTAGTCTTGTTCAAAGAAGAAATGTGATAATCCTTTTGATTTACTTAGCTACACTTCAGAGTGCATCAAATCAAGCTTCCTAATCCAGTTCCCACAGATGAGTTAGATGAGGCATATGATAAAGACATACAAGAAGATAACAATTGGAATGGAGAAGAAGGCAGGCATGTATCATAGGTTAGCAGGAAAATTACACTAAATCTGATACAGTGCAGAGAGTACATAATTGAGATGCTTCTTGAAAAACAGCTCCAGCCTGTTAAAAATATCCCACAAAGGGATTTTACAAATTTTTAACAAGCTGTTTCTTTTACTTAATTTTGAGCGGCCCGTTACTACTCTCCCTTAAGATAGATTTCTTAGTCCACTCTTCTTTATCTAGTCAACAGATTCCTGACTAGATGGACAGCCGTTGTCATCTGGTATGCCTGATCCTATACCCTATTTACGCAGCTGCCGTACAGTTGCCTATAAAAATACTCCTATATGCTTTAGAAGTAATTGCTCCAACCTCCTAATAACAGTTAATGTTTATATTGCATTTTACAGGTTCTAAGTACTATACCACAGTATGTTTACCACAGTTCCAACTTTTATCCTTTTTTTTGAGGATTAGGAACAAGGAATATTAAGGAACAACCACAAAGTCACAATAAAAATAACTGATCCCTGCAGGCAGTACTCCCAACCCACACAGTGAGATGTCAGTCCACGTAAATCACGACTGACACCTCATGACTGACTGAAACCAGTGAGGTATCAGTCGTGACTTATGTGGACTGACACCTCACTGGTTCACTGAAACTGGTGGCAAAGCTCCCACCACAGTACACAACCCCCAAACCCCAAAGGCAGTGATACCACACGTGCACACTCCTCGTCAGGGATCACAGGGTCCTGATGCTGAAATGTGGCAAATGCTGCAGTACCTCTTGTACTCTCTAAAGTCTTGCTGATGCTCTAATTCAGTACTGACTGAAGTGCAAACTTGAAATCACTAGTGCTGTAGCATATGCTTTTCTACCAGTGTGAATGCAACATCAGGTTTCTCTCTTCTGTTTACCTTGAGAGGTAGGCTGTGATCTTGGTTTAGGTGTTAAGAACTGGCCAGGTCACATGGAATAGGGAATTAAACTCTACATGAAGAATAAAAAAAATAACCAGCAGTCCAATCATGAATATAGAAGTGACTCTCCTTTGACAAGATGGGCAAGGGGGAGAAAGAAGTGTCTGCCATTCAGTGAGGACAGCAAAGGATCCCGAAAGCTGAACAATGTTTCCATTGTTTTAACACAAGCTCTGCTTCTCCACTGAAAGATCCAAATGACAAGGACACTGAGGGTTTCTTTCTCTTTGCTGTTTGTTTCCCTAGTAACAAATACACAAGCTGCACTGTTAGAATACCATCCTTTTCTCTATTTTTTCTTTTTTTTTTTTTTTTTAAGATAAAGACATGTCAAGGATGTATTCAGTGCTTTCAGTAGCAGGTTAAGGTTGCTTGTACAAATGAGCCTCTGATACAGCATGATGTACTTGAAAGTACTACATGTAGACCACTGAGCCAGTGAAATAAAACAAAAGGTATGGAAGAAATTAAATACTCACATCTCAATTTCTGTACTATTTAGATTGTACACCCTTAGGGCAAAGTCTGCCTTTCACAGTGGAGCTCTGATCTTGATTAGCAAAACAGATGGCATACTACTACTACTAAATCCTGTCCTAATTTGATTGCAATCATATTATCATCAGTAATATAAAGTGTACAATTTTAATGGGACTGATTTTGACACTGACAGCTCTTGTCTGTTTTTGTTGTGAGCTCTGCATCATGAAACATCTCTTTAAATATAATTCTGTAATAGAAGGGGGTGGTGTTGCTGTTTTTTGTTAGGATTCTAATCAAGGTTATGGTCTGTAGTTCTGGAATTCACTGGGTTACAGGAACTGGAGAGAAGGCATGCAGTCACTGTCTGTGTGGTTGTTAGAAATAGAACTGGTAGGTGAATCGTATCCAAAAGCATAAAAAGCCATTCTCAAAACAGGACAGGTAGAGATTATTAAAAGCATCTAAACCAAGAAAGAATGTCAGGATAATTTCTTCCTTTGCTTCTTCAAGATATGTTCAGTCTCCAAAGTTTGGAGACTTAAACAAATTTAAAAAAAAAAAACAATTGCTCGGACTTACAATTGTCAAGATCTGTGTTCTCTGTTTCAACTGAAAGAAGGAAAAAATCTTTTTTTTTTTTAAACAAAAATAACTTCTTTCCTATGTGTTTGCCATAAATGTGAGCTTAGTAGTAGTAGTAATAATAATAATAATAATAGTTTGCTCTTCTTTTCCCAGTTATTCAGGTTTATAACATTGTGTTCTTCAAAGTTCTCCAAGGAAAAAAACCCTGTGTCTATTTCTTGGGACATGGCAGCAGCCAGCCTAAAGAGTATAATATAGAAATAACTGACAAAATTAATATAGAGTTTGTGATTATATAATATGAAAATATACCATTATGGATTAATTGCAAAACAGCTTGTTGCTAAGTCATAAATTATACTGGTATTTGTTACAGCATATTTTAGCTACTTGTCTGGAACTGTGTGTGTAGGGAGGTATTTCAGGTGAACAGATAAATTAGTATCTTTTAATTTGGGATGATTTTTGAAACCAGTAGGAGTAAGGATTAAATTGTACTACATATGCCAATGTTAAACCTGCAAACTCAGAAAAGATGCAGTGAAGCTACTGCTTCAGCGGATCAGTCAATATCAAGTGATGTGATCAGCTATCCAGAAATACTTTGGCATCTCAAGCTGTCCTCAAGTGCAGAATAGACAAAGGAATTTGTTTGGGGTCTATGAATCAAACAAATTTGTATCAGGATTTTTATACGATGTAGACATCTGCTCATATACATATAAATGGATGTGAGTTGGAAAAAAGTCTGTATCACCCAACTCTAGATACCTAATTTGGGAGTATATATATTCTCTCTCATCAGAGGGCTGAAATACACACCACTAGAGGGTGATTTGTCATCTGCAAAATCTGAATTGCACTTTTTATCCCCATCATCACTGTGGAAGGTCTACTTTTATCTCTTGTGTGACTTTTGAAATAGCAAAGCCAGATGTTAACTAAACTTTTCTAATATTAAGACTGACAGATATACAGTGTCCTACCTAAAGCAAAGTTCACCAGGGAATTAGCCAGCATACAAGCCCTTCTAAGGCAGGCTTCAGAATGCCTTAGTAGCTAGGTTAAATTTGGGTTTTGTTTTTCCCAGAATTTGGTTTTATAATACTTAAATATCTACTTTCACTAGAAAATCTAGATAGACCTTTATTTGCAAGGTAATAGTAGTAGGAACTTATACGAGTTCAGGTTTTGTTATATAGCCCTTTTGGTCTTTAAACAAAAATCTAAGGCCAACAAAAAGAATCCTCTTGGCATAAGCACAGTAATGAAAATGGTGATTATAAGAACAAGTAACAGCCATATTTATCCCTGAAAATTGTTTCTTGTACTAGCCAAACTGTGGAGAGAAAAAGATGCTGGATCCATGAGGTTCTAACTGTCCTCAAATGAGCCGAGGCATCTGTGGGGACTGTGAGCACCTACTTGCCCGGTTCAGTAAGTGGGGAAGCCCTGCAACTGGTTGTTTCTGCTCTTCCTGTTAGCTGTTGTTGGATTTCCAGAAAGTCTTTCAAGACACTCAAGAGCAGAACAGACAATTGTACTATGTTAATACAAGTGTATATCTCTCTATATAAAATTAACAACAGTGTTTTTCTAATTGGGGGGATTTGTAACTGTTCCATTTGTGTGTATATCTGGCACAATCAATTTCAACCTCTGGAACTGTAGGATTCACAGATCAGGACCCAGAAGTGAGATACAATAGAAATTAGATCCTAATGTTTTGACTCATTCTTATATGCTTTAGACTGCTACAAAAGAAGACTCAGGACCAAAAAGCACTACCAAAAGTACAGTTAGAAGGTCTTTCTATTTTAATTAAAACTGTAGATGCAGGCAGTGGTGTGAGCTGTACATTAGATCTCTCCGTCCTAACTCTGGAATTCCAAAACTTACTGTCTATGGGCAATCTACTTCAGGTAGATTTTGGGCAATAAGCATAAACATTTTATCTATCAAATACAGACTTGTTTTGATAGTTAATGTTGTGAAAGCATACTAGATATGGAAAACTATTGGATGGAACTATTCTGACCCCCTGACAGTGGCTGAGTAATTCTGAATTACCCAGGGCTAAACTGTGCCTCCAGCAAGATACATTGGGACTGTAGGCAAGAAGCGAGCAGCGCTTAACCATGAGACTGGAAATGGTATCATCAGTTTTGCAACTATTCACTCCTGGTAAGTAAATTACACAATACAGTGGAACATCTGTATCTCAATTTAGCATGCAAACGGGAGTGGCAATACAGTAAACCAGCACAACACCACATACAAACTAATTGCGCTTTATGAGGACCATAGCATTTTAAAGTGCAAAAGCAAATGCTAGCATGCATTGTCTGTATTTAGCAGCAAAGAAAACAGAAGATACATTTCTCTAAGGCAAAAGGAAAAAGCAGTAGAATAAAAAGAATGACATAAACTTTTCCATGTACACATACATATTATAAAATCCACCTTTATATAGGATTGTCATCTGTTTCATGCAGCTACAGACTCCTTGGCTAATGTTGGCCAGCTATTACTTATGTGAGAAGTTAAACCTGTGTTTCGTGAGCCGTAGAAAAGCAGAGATTAATTTTTTGTTGATACATGTTTTGTATAAACACATTCTGCATATGCTTGCCTGTATATGCAAAACAGCTGGCTAAAGGTAGGGATTCAAGCTTTTTCTGGTTTAGGTTTGTTGGGTTCCTTTTTTCTTTTTTCCTTCCTCCAAGAGGTGTGTTTCTCATCTTAAAACCTAGACTTATATATCTATCCTCCTTTTATATATCCTGTCCAGATTAGGGCATCCAGCACAAACATATTCTGTCGTTTCACAGATAAATAGGGCCAAGGGGATTACTGTAATCATGTGGTACAACTTGCTGTAAGATAGAAGCCAGGTGACTTCTGATATTACTTGTCATTTAAACCAGAACATCCCTTAGGAAAACATGCTAGAACATCCCCTCTCTACAGGTTGTTAGTTCCTTGTTCCAGTCATTAATTACTCTCATTGACAAATATATCCATCTTATTTCTCCCTTGAATGTATTTAGTTTTATCTTTCAGCTATTTTTTCCTTCACGTGTAAGACTGAGACAACAGAATTCACTGTAGATATAAGAGCAAGTCATCCTTTTGCGTAATAGCATTTTATAACACACATTTTTCAATTTCTACATTGTTTCTATATCTCTTCTCAGATCCCTCTCCAGGTTATCAAATGATTTCTCGAACTGTGGATTCCAGGAGTGATTTTTGTCCCTGTCAAGCACAGGACTGTTCTTTTCCTATTTAGACAGTCTGATGATCGTATCTATCTGTTTGGTTAATTGCCAGGCATTCAACTGATTCTTCATTAGAGTCCCCAAAGGCATTTCAGAATTGTTGAATACCTGCTTATTCCCACCTTTCTTTCTAAACAAGGAGATTTGCAAAGTCTAGAGCCCAGAGGAGCCTTTTAGAGGGGGAAACAAAATCACTATGGGTCTATTACCTTCTCTGAATTACAAGTAGCATTTCAGATACATCAGAGGCACTGAGTTGAATTTTTTTTTTTTTTTTAAATTGTAACACCACTTTGAATAACTCACTAAGAACATATAGTAAAGTTTCTCTAATAGCTTACACGCAAATTAGATTTGGAAATTACTGATGTTTAAGAACATATAAGCAAAATGGACTTCTGGGAAGAGATAACATGGTAATTGGTCTAATAAAAATGTTAGGCTACCCCATAGGCCCCATCGTATAGCTGGTTTTAGACAGTGTTAGCTTATACAATGCTAAGAAAATATATTTGTTACCATTAATCCGTTATTAATCCACCAGCCTCACAGCAACTATTTTAATATAGTGAGCTGTTTGAATAAACAATATATGAAAGATGAGTGCTACAGATGTTTAACTTCTGTAGTACCATTGTGCTGCTCATATGTTACACAAACATATACGTTCTTAAGTTGAAAGAAGTGGGGATGTCACCGGCCTGTTCATAAATGCACTGACACTTTAATGAGGACTTCTGCTACTGAGAATCTAATTATAAGGGGAAAGCGACAAAAAAAAAGTTAGCTAATTGATTGTAAAAACATTTTCAGCTTGTTAATGTTTTCTCCTGAATTGGTCCGGACATACTGTACAAGTTAAAAGCATAGCTACGTTCAGGAGGCATCTCTTGTCAAGAATGACCAGCGAGTCACCTGGATTTTTTCAGAGGTAAATCCAAACATAGGTTTCCTTAGTACAGCTATGCTCTAAGGAAAACAAAACAAAACAAAACAAAACAGAAACCAAACTTATTTTGATTAGGAGGATTGACTTTCTGTGGTAACCAGCCCATTATTTATGGGGCAAAACACAACAGGGCAGGGTAGAACTTCAAGGCATCACACTATTCTCTAGAATTGTAAGAAGACAGATATTATTAAAGAGCTTATTCTTTTTTGCAATGTCAAAATGACTATAAAAAGTAGAAAGGAATGTTGGCCAAGGAAATTTTCTATCGGAGGACAAAAATAAAAGCTTTTATTGTAATTAATATGAGTCTAATGTCGCTTTGAAGCTGAATGAGAAGGAGACTGAAGAGAACAGTAGTAACAAGAAGAAAACATAGATGCTCTCTAACTGTCAGAACACAGGACTGTACACTAGAATGTGACACTGCAGGCAGACCTAACTGATTAATTTCTTTTTAATAAGCTATCTAAATTGTGTCTAAAAAGATTGCTGGAAGGAGAACATACAGAGCAACCACTGTCTTTCTGTCCTGCTCACTGGCATTTTTACTGTATTAAATTCACTGTGGTAGCTGCTAGAGCTGCCTCTGCTGTTTTACTACTCATAGGATACACCTGATTCTGTAAGAGCAACCCAAGGTCCCTATTTGGCACCCTTTAATTTTTCCCTTCTCTTAATCTTTCCTTCCTTCTTGTCCTCAAGTCACTTAATTCCATAAACCTCTAGAGGATGCAACTGAGTCTAAAGACTAGATTTAATTACAGTTAAGAAAGAAGCATCACTGATTTTTATTTTTCTTGATCAGATTAGCTGTAAGAGTTTCATTTGTGGGTTGTGATGATTTATATATGAATTCTGTACCATAACTACTAGATATTTCTGGTTTTTGTTTTCTCCAATTCTATCTCAGTAACTGAGAAGCAAATGATCCTCTTAAAGGTGCTGAAGGATTTGGAGACAATAGCATGTAACATTTTCTTCAGCTGGGAAGATGTGCCTGGTACTCCATCTTGTGGCTGAAACTACTGAGTTTTTTATAACAGGTTGAATTTTCTTACTATCCTCCTCATATAAATATTGATAAATAAACGTGTGAACTTCCTTCATAACTTTTAAAACAAATAGGTCGAATGTTTCTGGTAATAGAGAAATAGGGAGACTGGTTAAAGACAAGATTAACTCAAGTAAGGATTGCCTTTTTCCCTGTGTAACACTATCAATCACAGTATTTGATTACATCCTCCTCATTACTGTTAGAGAAGCCTCAGCCAGGCATAGTGAGGACAAGCGTCTATCAGCACTTTCTAAACTACAACCTGTAGTAACACCGCTGTTCACTGGTAACTTGGTGTGGCCAGTGAAGTAACTTGCCACTTACCTTCCGGAATTGCCCAGAATGTCTACCAAAACAGTGTTGTTTATTTTGGCAGCATTTTTTTTCTTCTCTTAAATATTTTTTCAGGTGGTTATAATGAAATAAAATGGTAGTATCTGAATAGCAGAAAAAATCAGATACCTTTCAGTTAGCTTCCTGCCATCCCTGAAGCAGAAGATGTGTATTCAGTAACTGACTCAATTTGACTGCTCGAGCACCCAAACCATGAACTCAGTGTAGGAAAGGGCAAAGCACACAGCAGAAATTACAGAAGGCTACCAACACCTGGACTCACTGACCACATAGCTCATCAAATCCTTTGTTCATATCCCAGTTATGTAAGTTCATATTTTGGTGTATACCACAACTATGTATTTTCTTCAGACTGCAAAAAAAGTAAGTAGTTCACTTTTAGCACCTTCAGTCTTGGCAGCAGGAAGGCACTGAGATGACAGGTTATTCTGGATTTTCTATTCTGTTGTATCTCAGCTTGTATTTACTGGATAGAGCTTCTAACGGTCACATTAGAAATTGCATTCATCCCTCTACAATACTGTCAGAGATGCAAGATTGCAGTGGTCAAGAGAATATAAATTATGTTTCCAGAAACTGGTGCAGAGTTGGTTACTGGGTATGCGACAGGATGAGGCTAGCTACACACATATTTTAGCAGTCTTAATATGAAAGACATATTCCCTGATCCACATGATGTGGAAACAAAGAAAGTGCCCGTTTCCAAGGAGTCGCAGGCCCCAGGAAAATATGCCCGTCAAGAACAGTCTCTCTTGCTATGTCACATAGGGCAGCCATGGTGTCCAGAGGTGAGTGACAAAGCAGCTTTACCTTTTAATATAAGTGCCAAGCTGGAGCACATTCCACATCTAGAATTCCATTTTATATCCCCTGCAGACGTGCGCAGAAATCTGAAAATCACTGCATGTTTGCAAGACTGACACATAGTGAGTTAACAGTATCGAAGTCTCAGTCTTTCTGCTGTACATCATGTGCATTTCATAAATCAAATTTGCTTATAGCTGCACTACAGTTTTATATGAAGAATTCCTTGCTAGATTTTATACCAAGAAAAACCATTTGCATTAAATGTGTCACTTGGTCAGAAGGCACTATGCACACAATACGTACACACTGTGCTGTACAGCTACTGAATACTTACTCTGTACTGACGTGTTTGTCAAAACATTTTCTGAGCCTGGCACAGTCACCAGTGTAGTTTGTAGCCCAGTGAGGCAGCACTGGGAAGAGGACAGGAGAGGAATGGCATGGCCAGGCTGTTGGAATCACAGCATGGTTATCATTTTAAGTGTCTGGAACAAGGGTGGGAGGAAGCTATGAAAGACTATCTTGCATCTGCTCAAGACAGCGGCATCCAGCTCTACGCATAAAAGTTACCAGGCGTATGTCATACTATGAAATATGAATTACTTAAAATAAAGACAGAGGTAATGCTGCTGCTTCAATGTTCTGCAGTGCACCAGGATAGAAGGGTGACTGGTAACACAGGGATGAAATGCAAATATTGCAATGCCATCTCAATCAGTATCTAAATTTCGGAGAGGTTGCCACTCAGGTGTATCTTACCCACATTGCCTATTGGTCACAGCCTTCAGCATCCTTTTCTGCATCAGTGTATTCAAAAAAAAGTTGTGTCAATGCTGGCATACCGTGCAAAATAACCATCAATGGTGCGCTTGCCCTTTGCTTTTTTGAAACCCATTTTGCATCCTGGGTTTTGCTTTTGTACTCCCTGGTATTCTTGTCAAGAACCAGTTCAGCCATCCTTTCTTGCAAGAGCTTCAAAAATATCCACATTCTAGTGCCTTGTTTCTGAGGTATCTCAAACCTTTAGGCTCTTAAAAAAAAAAAAGTCACCTGAGACCTCTGCATGGCTCAGTGGGGCACAGAATGGGACTAAACCAGCTGCTCTGGCAGGAGCACACAAGTACAAGTCAACATCTGCTCTTCTGTCAGCTCAAAGAATTTTAGAGCAGGTAGAGCACCTATCTGAGCAGGGTGCAAAGCAGTGCACGGAAACCACTGCAAAGCCTTCAGAGTAACTGTCAGAACCAGTAAGATCCTCTGAGTGTTAGTATCCAGAAACTTCCTGCAAGACACTTTGCTGCTGCTACAGACAAGATTCTGTAATCCCTTGGATATTATTACAAGAGATAAAGCATCACATATAAACAGTTTTAAAATACAGCAACAGTTCAGCAAAGTTAATTTTTCATGTTATCAAGCTACAATACTGTTTCCTCAGTCGTCTACCTTGAACTGGTCTTCTGATACTTCTATCAGTATATATGAAGAGTGGTAGACAGGTACAGAGATGTGAAGAGCAGATTGTACAGTTTGACAATCATAACTACCATAATAATCATCATTAATATTTATACTAAGAAAGTACCTGATGCTTCACCTTGCTTCTGTGCTTCATTCCCTAACATGATAGTGTGCTTATTCGTAGGTGGTTGGAATTGCTTGGACCCACACCAGAAACTGCTGAAAAAAGGGAAGAATGATCAAATCAGTCCCCACGCAACAAAATTTTCTTTTAATTCTCATTTCAGTTGCCTTGACCAGTCATACTGCACACCCACTGTGAGACTCAGCTGCTTTTAAAAAAAAAAAAACAAACCACACACACACGCACACAAACAACAAACAACCCAAGAGAATTCCAAAACCTACCACGTAAAAACAAATCATTCACTAAAAGTTTCAGAGATATGTTCCTGCTCTAAACTGTCACTAGGTTAGCCTTTGGAGCTATAATTTTAGACGATTTATATGATAGTTTTCAGAAAACTCTAGGTATTATTATTACAATTTTTGCTCTTTAATTATCATATTTAACTGTCATTCAGCGAGGTTTTTATGTAAATGATATCCATGGCAACTCTCCACCAGCAGATGGCACGACTACAGACCATGATCATGATCTACAAGTACTGGAATAGGCAGGAGAGCTCTGAAGCTACTGTTATGCTTTTCCATATCCTTTTACAGCTTTTATTTGGATTTTCATGGAGGCAAGGTTTCTAGTGGGAGGCTGAATATAAAGTCTGATTACATCCTTTCTAGGGCCAATGTTATCTATATCCTTTTTCCTCTCTGGAGGCTATATAGCCCTGTTGCTGAAAAAATTGACCTGCGGACAAAATTAATAGCAAATATTACACAAAATGGCTTTTGATTTCTAGAATATAGATTGACTTTTTGTGTAAAATCCAGTGCTTGAAACATGCAACGGGTAGCACAAGAGGAATGAAGGCTTAGCCCAAGAGCATGACCAGCACAAGCTCTGGTGGTGCCAGGAAGGGCGGCCTGCACAGCAAGGAGGGGGATTCCTTGTTTGCATCTCTGAGGTAGCTAGGGGCTCTGCACAAAAGTGAACTACATTCTTTGCTCCCCACATCTTCCATTCAAAACAGAAAAAAGGATGTTGTGGGGGGTAGCACCCTGTATAGCCTACAGGCAGCATGACTGAAGTATGGGTGAAAACAGAAGTGAAAGAGTATATTCCATGCCTAATTCTCTGACTCTATCACTGTATATCTTAAAACCTGCAAAAATTAGCAGTGTAAGGTATAAGCAAGAACTGAAGATCTACATTCTCTTCCTTGAGTAGGTCTCCTTCAGCCCTGTGCAGTCCAGGTCATCACATCTTCATTGCTGGCAGCAGGAGCTGGGCCAGGTGACCTTCAGAGGTTCCTTCCATTTTTCTGTGGTTACCTTCATTAGCTTGGCATGCATTTGACAAAAGCTAGCATATAATTACAAAGAATTACAGAAAGTTCTCCTGATGGACTGGCTGTTCTCCAGGCTACAACCAGACATTAATCTGACCCCAGGACAACCTATAAATCTGAAAGGACTAAAGAAAAAAATAAAACAAGAAAATAACTGATTACAGGAGGCAACAAATGGAAACAGGGTAAAATCGTTGCAAGAGGATACCAGGTAGAGCACCTCTGACTGTGCCTATTAATTCCTGAAGGAGACAGGGCATTGGATGTTAATCCAACATTTGGGCTGGTACAATAAAGCCAGCGTGGCACCGGAAGAACCACCCTATAGCACTGTAACTTCTGCTAACTACCAAGCCCTAGAAGCTGACAGCCCGTAGGTTAGTCACCAGCAGGATATAGGAATTGGGTTTATAGGAGAGCATGAGCTGGGTTTACATCATCTATCTTCCTCAAGCTTTTTAGATATTAGCTACCTGTTCGCTGCCTAAGTATGTGCAAAGTGTATACAGATGTATTTATTATCCCTGAACAGGCCATACAGAGAGTTTGTAGTTTTTACTAGTTTACCTGAAGATTATTTTATTGTAAAGACATTCCAGGGCATGGAAAGGTGCACTCCAAAAGAAAAGCAAATAAAGTTTCCCCCTGCTCCAAATTCAAGTACAGTTACCAGGCAATAGCAAGGCAGGATCCCTGAAATGCATTACCACTTCTTTTCACAGTGGAAATTACTAGGTGTTCAAGTGATTCATAGATTACAGTAAAACCAACATAGATACATGCAAAATTTCAATAATTTAATACAAAAATGTCATCATGAATCCATTCTCAGTACAAGTGAATGCCAAGGCAAGACCTGAATATCCTCAAGGCAAGACCTGAATATCCTGAATAAGCACCTTAAGAGCTGAAATGGACTCTCCTGGTTAATTAATTGCTATCTTTGTTTGAGGACATGTGTGGCAATTTGCGGATAGAAATGTTTATACAAGAAATGCCACAGGCTTGATTGTTGCTGCCCACCTCTCTACCCACAAAAAACACCCAGGTTATAATCACCACCTTCAGACACTCGCTGTTGCACGCAAAAATTCCATTAATTCAAGCGCATTGCTTCCAAGACATTTGTATTTTCTAGTACTTGGGTTGTTTCAGGTTTTTTTGGTCAGAGATTCCATTCAATAGCCATCATGAACGTGACATTTTATTCTGAAAAGGGTTGTATTTGTTTGGAGTATGTTTATTCATTGAACTGTTTAGTTTAATATGCTTGCTGTAAATAAACTCAATTAACCCTTACAGTAAAAGGCCACAAACTCCTGCTTTGAAAAACTGATCCATGTTAAGTGGAACTGTTTCCAGATAGATGTTTCCATATGGTATTTGCCTCATAATTCACTTAAATACCTTGAAAAGAATCAGGCTCCCAAAGACTGTAAGAGATGCAGGGAAGGAGATTAAAAGGAAAGATTAAGGTGAAGAATTACAGGAGCAATTGAAAGCTTAGAAGCAGAAATACTATGATATCCAGCCACTGAAAGGTCATTTCTTTCTGCCCCAACTTTAGAGGATAGATTTGAAGAGAAAGCAGTTTTCTTAATTACTTAATAAAAGTATGAAGGGAAGTGGTCATCAAAAATATATGCATTAATACAGCCACTTTCAACAGACTAACCATGACTGGCAATATCCGGAGTGATGATGGTCAGCCCCAGCTGTTGTTTTTCCACATCTTGAAAGTGGAGGGCAAATTATTTGTTCTTTGCTCATTTATTTGGCACTATTTAAACTCTGAACATAGCTAACATTATTGGACAGCACCACATAGCAATTTTTGGCTCACCAGTTGCTTTTAAGAGAACTATGCTGTCTCTTATTTGCTTTTCCCCTCCTGGGCAGTTTCAGGAGAACTCCAGACTAGATGTGCAAGTGCTGCAGGCCTGTCACTGGACCTCTGTAGCCCATCCCTTCAAATAATGGGACTCGCACTGCAGATCATTAGGACAATTATTTTTTAAAATGAATGCACAAAATGTTTGCTAAGCGTAAGCAGTTTTCTAAAAAGTTCCTTCCAAATTAGCATGCTCTTCATAACTATTACCACAATACACAAGGAAAACAAAAAAATCTGTTCTGATTTATCTGTCAACTCTATTGTACAAAAGAAGCACAGGCAAAGGTGCTTGCCAAGGTTTTTATTAGTGTCACAAGGAAGTGTCATTAGCCTAGCAAAACACTCAGCTCTGTAATAACTACCAACAGTTCTCACACACACACACAAAAATAACTGATTTCAGAATTAAAGTTGTCATGAGCGCTGCTTGCAGATGAACTTAAAAGAAGGGAGAAAAATCGAATCAGTCATAGACAAGGCATCGACAAGCAACAGCATTTACTCTGCACCGACAGGAAAAACCAGGGGATGAAGCCAGAGGGACAGGGAAGAGAGAACCGCAGAGCGGCTGGTTGCGGAGCGGTACCGCCCAGGAGGAACAGCGTTCGGGGGGGCGCATTTCCGACAGCCTATCCCTCCGCTTCCCCGTCAGGCGTGCTTTTCAAACAGCCTGCTGCCACGGTGTGGAGTAGAAGGTGGTTTTTACCTGCACACACAAAAGACTGCTAACTGCAGCCTCAGGTAGTTGCGAATGACAAGTGGCTTATCTCTCCAGCACTGCAGACAGTTCAGCCATTTCAGTGTTTTCTTAAAGTATCCCATGAGACTAAAACATTCATCCCCCAAAGAAAAGGCATGGAAACTCTTAATCTACTGCTACACCAACCAATGACAGGCTCTCTACAACACATCCATACATGAAGGCAAATTGTTCTGGAGACTGCTAATTAGAGCTACTCAGGCCTGTTTTCTAGAAGAGAAAGGGACTATTGTTCATAAACACATCCCCACCAGCTCCTGCCAGCGCGGGCTGCACCTCTTCTGCCCGCACACCCCTGGAGCCTGCCATGCAGCCTTTGTTGCTCCATTTCTGACAGCATGCCAACCACAAAGGGACAGCAGCAGAGCAGTGTACATTTTTTTAACTAAAATATAGCACTTTGTGTTCTCTGCACAGGTCAGACCTCTTCCACTTTTTTCCACCACCCTCTCAATTGGGTAGGAAACAGACAGTCCTTTGCTAGAGCCGATAGGCTCCAAGGACAAAACACACCACAGCAAGAGTTTCCTAATCAGCTTCCAACCGTAAATAATCTTGCATTCTCTACTTGCTATACAAATTGTTAGAGATATTTACATAAAAATGTATTATTGCTCCACTGACAATCAGTTTGACATGTTAATTTGCTGTCATCTAGCAAATTATGTTGCAGAGGTGCTGTCTAGAAATAATTGCTGTCAATGCTATAGTTGCCTGGAACTTGTTACTAGGACCAGATTGCTGTGGAGGCTGGGCACTGAAAGGTTTCGTGTGAAAGACACAGACAGCAGGTTTATAATGTATAGGTCCTTCAGGAAAGCACAGTTAAGATTTACAGCTAAGGTAATGTCACACATTTACCGAGCAGCACCACAAATAACTTGACCATGTGTTTACAGTAATTTTATTTACAAGTTACCACATGACACCTGTAGTACTACAGTTTTTATAACACCATTAGCAGTAAAATAAGTCACATCTAAGAAGAGTAGGAGGCAGCAGAGAAAAATGTGCGCAGAGAATGCAGAAAAGCTATTCAGTTTTAAATGAAAGTAGGTATTTTTCTACAGACTTTGAAAGCGAGGAAGAATATACACGTTGAGAAAAGTTCTTCAGCCCTGTTATTTCTACAGCATTAAAATTTTTGTACAGTGACACTTTAGTATGATGAATACTACACACTAGCAGTCAAATGCAAGTGGTGGGGAGATAACTGCCTTAATGTCTTGCCCTTTTAAGCACACAGAAAGGAAAAACAAAGCTTCCATCTTTGAAAGGAAAGTTATCCAGGGCTGCTTTACTTGCAGAGCCAGTAGAGCAGAATTGCTACTGGGGGGGCAGGAGGGACAGAACTTAAGACTAGAGTTCTCATGCATTGCATATCGCCTTCGTGGTCTTATCTGGTCTCGAGTTAAGTACTTGGTGAGCAAAACCAGTTGCAGCATTCCACAAGTCTTTTTACAGTGCCGTGATCTAGTAAGGCTGAGCATAGCTTAGCAGAATCCCAAAATCAAACAGATAAAAAAAGCCCTTCTGCTCTCTTATGATCCTTGGCTCTAACGATGCTGGTGCTGAGCCTGGGCCTTTCTCAAGAGGAAAAATGTGGAGGAGCCATTCCGGAGAAACACTCTAGATCTAGATGTATTCTGATGATAAGACTCAAGAAGAAAATAAGCTTAATGCAGCATCAGATGCAACCCTTTTCTGTTTCAAAGTACAGCAGCAGCTTCCAGAAAGCAAGCATTATTCAGGACCTTTCATCTTTAGACCTAGACATCTTTAATAGCCTGGAGCAACTGTCAATGCACATGATCCATGCTAGTGGCTGGAAAGACAATGAAAATAAAAGCTGCACAGTAATAATTATTTCCACTACTAACTACACACAGGATATATTGCTTTTGGTACAATGCCATTTATTGTCACAAGAAGAAAACCAGTGATTAAGTCGAGCACACATGAATTATGCAGACCTTTGCCATGCTGGAACAACAGCATATTATACTTCACGAAATGTCACCAAGTCAGCTGTAAAAACAGCTTAATACCGTTCTCCCAAAATACCAAACATACTCCCAAAAACAAATTTATAAATTAAGTTTAGCTACAAAAGAATGCTTAATAAATGACCACAGTTCTTTTTCCTTAATCCTCACACTTTTGTTTGGAGTGCTGTGCTTATGTTGCATGTGAGAGCAAACACATAACTAAAACATGTAGCTACAGTAACATCAACAATATGCATTTAAGTATTTCTCTGTGTGTAAGGTGGCCTACAAAAGTTTTATGTTCCCTCCACATCTGTGGCATACCTATTCAAAAAGCCTGCAAAAGTGTAAGTGTGTACAAAAACTAACAAAAAACTTTTAAACAACACAGAATGCATTAAGAAGTCTAAAGTTTGAACTCGAGTCTATGATGTCTCTATCAGTTGGAATATTTGAGAATTTTAACACTTCCAGGAACATGGAAAGGCTTTTTAGTCAGTTTCCTTTTAAGTACTAGCTATTGAAATTAAAGGTGAAGTGGGAGAAAGTCTTGACTAAAAAACCCTCCAGCACACTTACGATGCAAACAGTTTAGCAAGTCTCAAGCGAAAATACTGAACATTCAGCATTTTTGCATTCGCAGAATGCTGATATTTTTTTTTTAAGGTAGAATTTTAAGGCAGAAAAACACCATCAGAACAAGCCATTTAGTCTTGGATCTACCAAAACAAAACAAAACAAACACCAAAAAAGGAAAAAACAAAACAAAACAAAACCACCCAACAACAACAAAAAAACCCAAAACCAAACAACCCAAAAGGTACTTCAAGTCTTTTAATTATAGCAAATTTTAAAAATTTCAATGACATCCTCTTATAGCTTTGGATTGTATTATTTTTGCTAGAAAAGCTTGAATTTTAAAATAGTTTTCAGACATGCTGAAGCACACATCCTGGCTAGAGTGACTAAACTTTTCCATCGTTATTTCTGGGTTGCGTATTGAAGGTCAGTATTAAAAACATAAGGTGGAATGAACAGATCACTCTCCTGCACAACGCCTTAGTCAGTGCCATCCTGGGCACTGCAACAACTGACTGGAGGCGAGGAGCTGCTCTGTGCTACGCAAGTTTTCTCCCCAAATACATCCTTGGCTCAGTTTTACAGAAGAAAAACAAAATACAAATGAAAGTTAATCTGTGAGACTGTAGGTAATCTATAACCATGCAAGATAAAGAAAAGTAAGAACAAAGAAGTGAATTCGAGTCAGTCATAGTAGACAAAGGACTTTGGAGAAAAATATGAACACGGAAAGTATAAAACCCTGAGGAAGAGAAGCGTAACGGGAAGACAGTAACTCTGCAAGATCAAAGCTCAGCCCAGTCCAAGCAGCAATGGAAGGAGACATGGAGTAGTAGGTCAGTCAACAGCTAATATAGTTGAGTGTTGCACAACCTCACAGAAAGACTCACAAGGTAAATGAAAGTATTTTTTTATCTCTATATTTGTAGATAAGAAAATGCTGCAAACCCAACATGCTGTCAAGGTATTTCTTGCTCTTTTCTGGGAAATCAGAAATAGAATACTTCAGGGCTTTTTTTTAGCCTTCATGTGCAAACATAAGCTACCTCTGTAGCAAGTAAAATGAAAAGCTGTAAGGATCACACATTCCTCTACCACACTAATTAAAATGAGATGGAAAGGAATGTAAGAAAAATGGGCTCTGTGTGTGTGTTGAGAGGAAGACGAGAGGCAATTTTAGGGAAGTAGCAGGAAGATTTCTGTATTCACAAGGTATTCAAAGATTTAGTCAAAAAGAAAAGTATGAACCAGGGACTGTTGGACTTCAGGGAGAAGTTCCCAAGAGCAACAAAGAAACCCAGTGGAACTGGGCTTCAAGCTGCATCTTTGCCAAATGCATTGTTCCTTGCTGTTCCTTATGTCTATTTTTGTATTGCCTTCCCATAAATCCACATGCGGTTACCAGATCACGTGCTGTGCTTCCAACAGGAAGTCTCAGGAGACCTTCTAGCTTTCTTGCTTACCTCTTCACTGGATTTACATCAATTTAAGTAATGGGATCAATGATCTGTTATCATCAGAAAGCTCACGAATCCTACAGGAGAAAGATTTTTTGGAACAACTGGAACTTATTTAGGCTCAGTTTGAATAGCAAGACAAAGAGAAAAGTAAATTGTCAGGATATACTGAAAAAACAGGCAGAGTTCTAGGAAACACCTGACAGAAAAGCCGTAAGTGCAATTCATAAAGGGGAAAGATAGAGGGGTTACAGAACAATTCTCATATCTAACTTCCAAGATTAGCCTTCACATGAACACTGCATGAGTGAGGCCACATGGACACCTCTTGCACCTGGCAGAGTACCAGGATGTTGTTTTGCAGACTCACCAAAGCCACCTTTGGAAGTGGAGTTCAAGCTCTAGGACTCTTCTGAAGCTAGCTGAAGGGTTTCATGTGTGGTGAAAAGACATGTCAGAGCAAGACAACTGTCAACAGACATGGCACGTATTGATGCAATGAAGTTTGTAAGTCTTCTACACAACTCAAATGTTTTTCTTATTTTTTAAGCTTGTCAAGTGTTACATATATGCAATTTAGTAGAAGGAATGACTGAAATGTGCACAACACAGAAGCTGGCATCTTTGGTCTGCAGAGGAAGTCCTGGGGTCAGAGCTCTACAAGCATCAAGCCTACACTAGTATCTCTTCCAATGAGTAAGGCTTGTACCCAACAGCAGAGCCTCGCCAGCCTTTGTATTTGAGCGCACCGCCGCCCGCAGCGCAGGCAGCTCAGCTCCCAGAGCCTCCGAGGGCCCCCACTGGAACAGGCCAGCCCACAGAAACCACAAGCCCACAGCCGGACCCAAGCGCCCATCTCTACAGCCTCTGACTCCAACTGTTTAAGAGTGCCCACTATACTTGAAGCTTCTAGATGGAGAGGATCAGTGTCCAATTCTGGTGAAACTCGGGAAACACACATGGTATTTTAAACTAAACCTACTTAAACAAGGATCACACGTGTTAAGTCAATCAGTTGCTTGTCAAAACCTCCCCTGAGACAAGTTGCAGCACAGCAATACCTTGAAGTGACTCCCTGAAGTACATGCTGTTGTGAATGCAGCGTTCTGCTAGGGCGAGCAAAGAAAGCAAGAGGCAGCAACAGTCAACAAAAAGGTAAGAACGTGCATAAACCTATCTACGGCAAAAATTAAATTCTGTAATATTCTGGAGGAAAAAAATTACACACTCTGTGAAAGCCAAAGAGGGGATAGAGAGATGAATTTTGACAAGCCAATTCTCAGAGTTGTTACAGACCTGTCAGTTACAGCTAAGCTCTTTAGTTTCAGGTCACATTTTCTACGTTTTCATATTAATCAGAGAAGTTTCTAGCTGCCATTATGCAACGACACCTTTTAAGAGTTCAGTTCTTTGGCACAGTCTAATTCTAGGCTAAAAAAATAATTAAAAAACAAAAAACCAAACAAAAAACAAACAAACAAAAACATTAAAAGCCCATTACAGTGATGTAAGCTTACTAGCATTGCTCCCAGAAATCACATGTTTCAAACCCTTGGCCTGAGAAGAACCTTTCTGTAGTAAAATGAAAACATTTGGTCTCTAAGGCTTGCTCAAGTAATTATCTTCAGGATTTCATGGGAACAGTGCAACAGTTATATGAATGTCAATATAGAGAGTGTCAAAAAAGCCTGTGAATCATCAGATACACTGGAATCCATTTGTATTACTCTGTGCTCAACAGTTCAAATTACTGATGATTTCATAACTTTCTTGCACCAAAGATAAAACATTTCTGCCTGTCTTTACAGAAACTTCACCTGTATTTTTTTGGATGGCTTCCCTAATTTAATTTCAAGCTGGTATAGTCATACAGTGGAAAAAACACACTCGAGTATTTACAAATATTATATGTAGGCTACTCACTGCAGTGTTCAAGTGACAGTCATTTTTTAGATAAGCTAATGTAATGTACATCAGTATTTATATTTATGGTTTATAAAACAGCAGTTCATTTTAAAGCAGAATTCCATTCATTCTATATATGCACAGTACTATGCTGATTTTGTAATACAGGGACACAATTTAATGATTTTCTTTGCATTTGTTTTTACAAGATTCAGATGCCAAAAACAAAACAGAACATTAAGTTACCTGATTTAAAAAAGAAAATCACATACGTTTACAACATCAAAAGAATAAGACGAAATATAAACCTTTGCTACTTACAATTGATCTATACAGATTAACCAAATCACAAATCTGTCACAATATAAACGTTTAATTGTTACAATGAATAAGAACATACAGAAAATGATTTAACTTTTTTTTTTTTTTTATAAAATCTTCCTTTGCTTTTTTGTTTTAAACTTACCATTACCTAAATTAGCTATGCAGGATTTGTGGGGTACATGACTAAGAAGGCACCAACAGTACAAAGCAAAGACAAAGCAGTTTGAGTATTTTAAGAGTGCTCTACACTGATACAACACGAGAAAAGGCAACAATAGTAAGTAAACCAGCTGCAACCTTTAGAAATTTGTTCTAGATTTACAAAGGTAGTCCAACTTCGACATTTCCTCCAACGTTTCACTTAGTTTGATCACAGCACATGCTACAAAAACCACTGTAAGCTTCACTTTACTAATGTGCACTTTTCACTAATTTAGTGTCTTGATTTCAATTGTTAACTAAACCATTCTGAACCACAAATGTATTTAAAACTTAGTAAAAGGATTGTTTGGACTTTTTCATTTAAACCACTGCATTTACAAAAATATCTCCCCTAAAATCTGGGATTGCTTGAAGACATTGCTGTACAAATATAAAAGTACTATGCAAGGGACCGATTCATGAGTATATGGTGTGTATGTATAGACCTATATTTATACCATATCACTGTGCTGTAACAACACAATAAATTTATCAATAACCAAGGACTATATAAACTACACTAACATAAGCAAATATATATTAATAAAGTTTAAATCTATAGTACAGTTGCTCAGCAAACAACTTCGACATGGTATAAATATATCGTAGCATATTACAGTGGGCAGCAACAACAGGTTTTTATTTTCTCATTCTGTAAGGAAAATCATGCTCAACTCCTTGGGTTTCATTTGGCCACTGCTGAGTTACGTCATCACTGCTACTCCTGAAAGCTCATAGTGCACCACACCGCTCAGCCCATGTAGTGTGTTGTACACTTCAGATTTGATAAAACGTGTAATATTGATGAGGAAGAGTCTGGCGACAGTCAGGACAGCAGAGTAAGATGCTTATTTGCCAAAGCATCCATGAGAATTTTATGTTTGCATATTTTTCTTCAGCTGAAGATTGGAATGTTTTTGACAGTGAACTGTTTACATTCCTTATTCTCAAAACATCTTTACCATGAAATATGCATGTTACTTTGATTAAGAGTTGCTGTTCTCCGCTCTAAAATATAAAAACTACACAAAGAAAAAAACCCACAATGTAAAATGATGAAATAACTGACCTAACACAGTGTTGTTATAGGCACCTTCTTTTAAACTATTTTCAAAATCTGACCAAAAAAAAAAAAAAATCACGATTCTGCATTTAACGCATCAACAAATTCAACCCAACAATGTTTATTGAATTCAGTAATAGATTGATAAATGTAGTTACTGATACTGATGGATGCCAATTGGATTAATTAAGAATAGCTAAGGAAGAAAGCCCAAAAGCACCAGATGTTAGGTAAAGCAAACCCTCGGCTTCTCACGCGGAGAGACAGAATGCAAGGGTAAGTCTACACCTCCCCAAAAATCCAAAATTAAGCAAAGTATTAAAAAAATAATTGGGAAAGAAAAGGGTGAGGTAAGCTGCCAAAGTTCTTCCTTAATAAATTAAAACTGAGGTGTTACAATTTCAGTAACAGTCATCTTTCCAACCATGCCAAAAAATGATTCCTGTAGTAATGATGATCGTACAAGTAGCAGAGATTCTAGAAATATTTCAACTTCTCAAAACTGAGCGAGAAAAGCATTTTGGTAAAGATGTGTAGAAATGTCAAAAGAAATTTCTACACTAGTATCAACAGTCAAGTGCGTATTTCTATAGAAATGTTTTTAGCATAGGTTCCATACCACAATTCAATGATCACTTGTGCAGTGTCCTGACAATGCTCCTAATATTTTCCCCGCAACAGAGATCTATGTACCACAGGAACTTCCTAATAGAAAATGCCCTTTAATGATGAACCCTTGCTTATTAAAAATTAGTTTTGGCAGACTAACACTTAAACGATAGGAAAAATAAAATTTTGAAATGGAATCTTGTAAGCACCCTTATCTATTGAAGTCTAAGTTAATGGCTTTCTATATTTCTTTGAAGAGCAGACTAAATGGTAGGAGGAAGCCTGGAGTTATTAACCAGCAAGCATCCTTATATACTACAGTAGCAATTGAACCTGATTTCCATTCAAACACATTACCCAAGAGGAAACCAAAAACTAATTCTTAATGTTAATGTGAAGATAGAAGATTTAAATTTATTTCCAGGAATTACAAGTGCATTTTGTTCATATTAGCAAGCAGTCTTTATACAATCCATTCTTCACTGCTGCCAAAATAAAATGAGAAAAAGACAGCAGAGATATGAAAAGCTAAAAATAGAACTATTTTTCCTAAGTTATTTGTTGAATAGCATTTCAGTTGAACACAACTCAGAGGTAACAATAGATTATTTTTTTTCTCAATCATAGGCATGTGGCACTTAGACAATCATCTTTGCACAGAAAGCTTTAACAGTCATGCGAGGGCACAGTAATTATTTTAAACAAGGCAAATTTCTCACCACAGAGAGCAGTGGGGAAAGAAAAGGAGGCACTGCACTGGAACATAACACCTAGTAAACTCCACATTATACAATTTCAGTAACAAATACTTGAAAAGATCATTAAAAGGTATACAATTTTAAACATTATTTAGTGCTAGCTTTGTTTGGTTGTCCTAACTCAGCATTATCAGAAAAGTTTGATAGTACTTGACAACAGAACAGTACTTCATGTCACGAGCTCATGGAGGCTTGATTACAAATCACCATAGTGTAGGTTGCAAGAAATGAACTTGAGATGCTGACATGCTGTAGGAGCAAAAGTAAAATCAAACTTTCTCATTTAAAGATGCAGTGTTCCTCTCTGCAAGAATTCTGAATGTCAGTGATTAGATTCGAATGTAAAAACTATCAATCCTCATTTGGAGCATTTCATTGGTATGCAGGATGTAGACCGAGTTTATTAACATCACATTTTGGTTTCTCGCTTGCCACCACATATGGATGCCTTCCACAGAAAAAAGCATTCACCATTAGGTCATCATGCCATTATGTTCTTTGTTAATCTTCCACCACACGGTGAGTAAATATAAGTTGGCCAGCTGCCACTCATTCTCTTTGCACAACTCTTATAAACACTACTACATGGTATGAACTTTGGAAGTACTATGCCTCCACCATGGTTAAACTTTAAATGATCTCTTTTAGAAAAGGCAGGGAGAAAAAGGTACAAATTCTGTCAATACATGGAAAAAATGTTTCTTAGATGAAATCAATTAAGTTGGGTTCCTATGTGGCTCTTACGCTGTATAGAATACCTGTATGTACAGCACAGGACACCCAAACAAGTGCATAAGCAAGATTAACATGAACACGATTTATGCTATAATCCATAGCATAATGGTATAAATTCCATTGGATGCTAACCATTTCTATTTTAAAAGGAAGTGCAAAAAAAATCTGGGATGTCACTGACTTAAAGTGCCCTGAATAGTAGCTTTTCTAAAAAAAATGCCAGCGACTTCAGTAAAGTCAGAAAAACATAGTTCATGGTGTAAACGTCTTACAAGTTAATGAATTATCTTCTTGGATATTAATCCAGGAGTGAAAGGAACCACTGCATCTTTCAAACCAGAAAGCAAGCAGTTAAAATACGGCCAGCAGTAGGTGCACTTACAGTACAGTACTGCAACAGGTCAACAATGGGCATTACGCATAGGAGTGTCAATTACAATTCTTCAGGCTTAAAAGATTCATTGAAAGCATGAAAAGCCAAAACTACCAGGAGCTGCCCTCCTGAATGGCTCAAAGGAGTTAGTGGATAAGCTGAGAGAGGCCACAAGACATGACCGACAATAAAGAACTGGGAAGAGGAACAGCAACGTTTGAGCATGCCCAGTCCTTTAAGTCCTTGTCCTACAAAAAAGAGCAGAGACATATTTCAGTGAGGAAAGTTCTTAACGTTGCCTTTTAAAACAAGCATACTTTCCTATTTCTATGCTTTATGTACACTATGTTTACCATGAGTCAGACACAGCAGTACCAATGTTACAAAAAAAAAAAGGCAGAGACAGTGGATATTAGTACATTACATTTCAAATTAATTTTTTAAATCTTCAAAAGATTAGAAAGATGAATCATAACTAATGAAGTAAATTATTTGGTTGTCTGAAAAATCTGTTATGTTCACATTGCTTCCCGATCCCAAAAACTAGGGTCAAGGGGGAAGTTTTCAATCTCAAGAACTAACACACTGAGAAAAGCTAGCTGATAAAGTATGGGGGTGGGCTGAGGTGCAGAGGGAGCAGAAATGTGCAGGAAGAGACTGTTAATGTCTTTTTTAAGCCAACTCCTGAAGACTGGCCCTCACTAGGATGTCAACTACTTACGTTTACACTGTTGTGAGGAGGAACAGCTAATAATTCTAACCACAGATGACTAGAACAGTTTGATAATGATATGATGGTAATTTAAGTACCATATTTAAATTTCAGTATCACGTTAGCCAAATGAACTTCATAGTAGCATTTAAAGGTAGCAATTTTAGCAAATCAGAAATTTCTGTTAGTACTGGATCACTGGTATCTTTATTCCTAATCCCTTTATCCTTTAATCTCCAATACAACCTGGGTAAGTGTGGTCTGGGCAAAGAGGCAAGCAGGAGAGATCATAAACTACAATTTACCACAAAGTTAACTACTTGCTCTCCCCTTCCTTGATACTATGGCCTATTAGTAATAGGTTTCACCTTACTCCTAAAAATTTATGTAATTTTCTTCCCAAGTGTGTACACATACTGCTAGTGCCTCCTGTACAGAATTAGCTTTAGAAAACACAGGTGGAAAAGAAGCACCACGCATGCTACTGTGTCCCAGGTCTAATTCTGTTGGCAATGCCCAACTAGTAAGTCAGATGTGCGAACCTCAGATTTACCTAACTTTTAATTATTAAAGTAGTTTCAAGTGTTAGCTAGTAAGCTTAAAAAAAAAAATACAGTATTTCTAAAGATCAAAACTACTTCATCTGTGAGCTTCTATGTATTTGAATACTCAAGCCACTGGCAACAGAAGTCACCCTATTTAAGTAAAAACTGTATTTTTCAAAAGGTTCCTCCACTTTTTTTTTTTTTCTTTCTTTCCTATGAATTCACTGTTAAAAAACTGGGGGTATATGCAATGCAGAAACTGAAATCCCATTTTTAGTGCAGGAGAGTTTTTCCTTATAGCGAAGCAACAAAACTTCCACACACTGCTATCAGAGCTGTGGATTTCCTGTAGTGAGGAAGCTCACTGGCTCAAAACCGAACCTTTCTGCTGGATCTGCCAACAAGAAATGGTGACTGTAGAATGCTGCTGTTGATGGAGAACAGCACAGGAATTACTTTAAAGACCATAAAACTGGCACTCCAGCTTAGGCTGTTGCATTTGGTTTAGTTTTCTTCTCCAGTCACAAAGCTTTGATACTTTAAACTATTGGTATCACAGAAGTTCCATGAGTATTAGAAAAATTATTCAAGTCAGTATTTGACCAATTTTATATCAAACAACTGAGACTTGCAAGCCTTCTGGTATATGAAGACCAGTTTAAGTTCATGGATTTATTAAAGAAAAAGTCAGAGACAGTGAGTATCAGTACATAACATTTATAAATTAAAATTTTGTATCTTCAAAAGATTAATCATAACTAATTTATGAATCTTTAGATACCTATTTGTATTTACTCACACTATTTCAGAGGTACTTAAACCTGAAGTTAAATCATACTGAAGCGTCCTGGGTTTTGTTTGTGTTTTTGTTGTTGTTGTTGTTGTTTGTTTTTTGTTTGTTTTTGTTTTGTTTTGTTTTTTTCCCTTTAAAATAATTTAAGAGATTTTTTTCCTCTGTACATTACATTTAAGGAAAACTTTTTTAAAAAGCATTTGAAGCCATATGACAGAGTAGTCTGTAATATATGAAGAACACTGTCCCCTTAAAATGTTTTTTGAATAAAATTTGCATTTCAAAGTATTACCATAGCTTTTATTCTGAGAAGCACTATTTAAATGTAATTCTTATTCCTTAAATGTATCCTAAATACTACACAAACATCTCAGGCAATTGTGTGGATTCTCTGTAGACACTTCAATGTTGTAGGCAAAACTAAATTGTTCCTTCAACAACAGATTAAGGCTGAGGTGAAACTAATAAGCACAAAGCTGTCTTTTAACAGCTAGTTACCGTATCTGTAAAAAAAACGTAAGTTCTACATTTCATTAGCAGTAACAAAGTCCCAAAATTCTTCCCCCTGCCCAAGTAGTTTCATATTGCTGTGACTTTACCTATGCACAATTTAAGATCGATATCCTGGCTGGAATCTAGCAGTTTCCTCAAAAATCAGTTCTTTCAGCTTTTCCTTCGGCAAGTCATCCAACTCCATATCAAACTTGAAGGGTGCTTCAGCTACAGGCTTAATAATATAAAGAAACATTATTACTTTTTAAAACATTACTGGTTCTCTTGAATTTCAGGTAGCCCCTGTATGGGGAAAAAAAAAAAAAAAATCTGAAGATGTGCTTCACAAAAATATCTAATACTGTGCAGCCTTCAAGGAAGAACTCATTCTATTAGTCCTTCCTGTGCTTTATATAGCAGTTTACCACATTTTAAATCAAACCATATTGAGTAGCTACTTAAATCTAAACTACAGGTCGAAATATTTGTTAAAGGCTCATAACTTAGTAACTTTTCTTCAGGTATATATCTGAAACATACGTATTTCTCAGAACAAACATGTTTGTCCCTTAAGAAAAACTAGCTTATTTCCTCCTCTCCTACTTCTTCAGCAAAAGTAACCTGAAATCTGTCTAATTGTATACTAAACCACACCGAGTTCAGATTGAGGGGTTGTAAATGCATAATCTGATGGCAAACTTCGTTGTTCTCCTCCTTTATCTCCGACGTTATGAAACAAGACCTTAGCTAGCTGAGAAGTTTCATTTTCTAGGCATCTATTTTTTGTGTTGTGCCTCCAAAACGTTGTATTAGAACAACAAATAGAAAATTTTAGTAAATTGATGCAATTCATTCTTCAACTCCATGAGAGCGGTAGAAACAATGTCCTTAAACTAATGAAGAAAATAACCTGTTGCATCATTTAATCAACATTTACATTTTAACAGTGTCTTTACCTCATCGCTTGGATCATAATACTGCTCCAGATATGGATGGGCTAAAGCTTGCTCCACTTCAATCCGCTTATGAGGATTAAAGGTCAACATTTTATCCAACAAATCAAGTGCTGAGGAAAAAAAGTGAGCAAGAGTTTAATATACGCTCCAAAGTACAAAAGTGTTATAAACGCTGATATTACACAACAAACACATGCTACCCTAAGTTTTGTACTAATTTCAATTTACATCTGGAATTCCCCAGCTGTAGTAGCAGTAACAGCAGCAGCAGATTGCTTCCTGTACCTTGGGCAGAGTATCCTCTCCTGCCCATCCTATCGGCATTCCGTGGTTACGGTTCCCTTTGGTACAATCTGGCCTCGTGGAGACGATACCCTTCAGAGGCTCTTAGTGTCAGAACGAATGTTGAGGGAAGAAATGCGTAGAACCCTATGGTACAATCTGGCTTTAACTACAGCAGAAATCGAATATTTGAAAAATTTATTTTTGTGCCAAAAATCCAAACCAAGATAGAGCTTTTCCAAAACGAAAGAATATGTTCTTATTCTGAAAAGAAAACCTGGCTGTTCAATGATGAAAGTGTAATCCAGAAGTCATTAGGAGTTCTAGATCATCACAGTGAACTATTGTAGCACAACTAGCACCCCAGAAGGTACTCTCCAGCTAAGATGCAAATACATTTATATTCACAAGATCCAGGCAAAATCTGTTGAGTACAACTTGCAAAGAGTCCACAGAGAACTTGAAGATCCAGTAAGACAGAGAGTGCTGTCTGATGAAATTCTTGCCAAACGCTACAAGCTGGAGTTACTGCAATTGTTCAGCTACTTTGATTGTAACACATTTTCCTTTTCCAAGAAAAGGAAACAAAATTATTATTCTGGCAAGAAGCCTAAAGATATCTGCAGCATCCTAAATTCCATTCCATTTCTTCCCCTGACTGCATCATTTATGACACAGAACTTAAATAGAGGCTTCTTACTGCAGCAAAGTAGTTGTAGCTTTGCACCATGTATACCCAGCACTGAAGAAGAGATCAACCTTGCCACTGCATTCAATGGCAGCCTGAAAAAGCAGCAAACTTGCACAGTAATCCACATTAACTAGCTTGAGGTGGTTTTCTCAGTAGTGGAAGCTCACATGCTTCCTCTATGCTAAAGCATGTTGTGCACAATGCTTTTTTACTGAAATGACTGACAAACAGCTTTTTGAAAAATTGCTCTGCCAAAGCTACTCTGAAGATCTAGCTGGAAGCACTGCAGAAGGCACGTTCCCCCAGCAGCTAAGCATATCAGCATTGCTACAATTTGAGCTGTCAGAAGCCCACGGTAAAAATTCTCACACTGATGAGCGCTATTATAAAAGCAGAATAAATCACTGCTGTTTCACTCAGTGATAAGGATAATCAGTTCTACACAGTTCCATCTGCAGAAATCAGCTTTCACATGGTTCTTCAGTACCTGATCACAGCCACTAAGAGTAAATTATCGTATCAGTTAAAAAAATAAGTGAATTATGAATTGTGTCAGAGCAGATAAAAAAAGAGCACTGTACTGTGAATACAAGCTCCCTTAAACTGCATGAAGTAAAATTTAAAAGGCAAGTTAATAGCTATCTAGCAAAAGAAAAGTTGTTTTTACTAAAGCCTTGTTAAGAAAGGCAACAATCATCATATTCCTTGCTGTTATAACTTCTGCTCCCCTAATCATAACTGAATTTTCTACCCCATTAAATTTGACCCTTTCATACTGCTAAGGACCCACACTTCGATATTATTGTGCTTGATCTAGAACTGACATGTAGTCTGCACAAACTATACCAAGTTTAGCAATAAGTAGTTACCTCATATCTGATTTTAGAAACAAAGTTCAAGATTTGTTTGATACCTATGTCAAAGCCCAATGCCTATGTTTGGTACTTGAGTAATGTATCATGCTTTCAAAGACAGTAACAAGAATCAGGATTTACATTTTACATGTAAGTTAAAGATCAAACACTGCAACACGTAATCTTAGGGAGTTATTAAAAAATGTTTTAAAAATATAAGCTTGTATGAGGGTTTCATGCTGGTTTATGATTTTCCATTAGATTTATACTGCCATTTTAAGGGACCTGCATATTCTATTTCCAATATAGATAAATTCTTAGGGTAGTTTTAAAAATCCCATCTTGCCATTACTTTCTGATACAATATAACAGAGCGTAAAATACCTTTGGGGTCAGCGTTTGGAAACAGCCTGTTCCATGGTACCTTATTTTTGTGTGGTAGGGAAAGCAAGTAGTTTCTGGCCTTTAAATTTATTATACAGTTCAAATCTTCCTGGGAAGGGGATCCAAGTATACCTAAAAAAATAAAAGAAAACAGTACTGCATTCTATGAAAAGCACATTAAAAAGGTATTGCATTTGCTAAAACTCACTATTAAAACTGCTGGGAAGACGACTAAATGTTTTACAGTACAGAATACCTTAGAATTTTGTTAGAAACCTTTACTAAAAAGTTTAAGTTCTTTTTTCTTGTAAATGAACAAATGCATTTGAGTTTTCTAATGACCAGCAATTTATTTAAAAGATCCAATTAAGGGGTGTATCTACAGAAATTTAAAGAAAAATTTGGCCTGGATCTGATAGTACATTTGAGCTTTTTTTGTTATTTTAAAAACATCTCTGCTGATGTAGTAAATAAATCAGTAAGTATCCTCTAGTTGCCCCCCAAATCAGTGATTTGTTGTAGAAATCACTGCAGAAATGACTACAGGGAACAGATGATACACCTACAGATCCATACGTTACACACTGACCAACAAAAGAAAAAAATGAGTGACCAAAGACCAGTCTAGCTGGTAGAAAAGATGGAGACAGATGGATGTAGAAATGTTGCTTTTATGTAAAGCTTACCAAGGATATGGTTAAGTTGGTCAAGGTAGTGTTTTCCTGGAAAGATAGGTCTGTTGGAGAGCATCTCTGCCAGAATACAGCCTACTGACCAGATGTCAATAGACTTGGTGTAACCCTGCAAGTAAAGTGAAAACACATTTTTGTCAAAGAAATTTTTGCATAATTGGAGCAACATGTTACTTCAGTAAATTGTCAAAGTGCACGCAAATAAGTCTTTGGATTTTTTTTCACATGAGTCATGTTTGTTCATGCTGTTTAGTTTTTCTGTACAGAATGAAATCATTAAGAATTGTTTATCAAAAACACTACTTTGAAAGGATAGCAAGAACTGCAGTGTACAAGATATGCTCCTCCAAAAGGATTCTCCGGGTTTAGCTAAACATATTACCAACCGCAGATTTCTGAGACTCCCTAATTTTATAACAAATTTAAACTAACAAATTTTGGAAAGAAGCCATTCTTCTTAATTCCACAGCTCCTAACAGTATGCTAAACACATGCAAAAGAAGACCATCCTTCTTCCTAACAGGATCCAAATACCACACAAGGAAGAACCCTTCAGCAAAGGGGTGAAAGGGCAAAACAGATTGTTGGTTAGCTGATTTGTAAAACGCAACACGTAAGTAAGTAGTAAAGATGATGTGAGAAGGCCAACAACTGTAAATGGGATACAAGAAGAATGGAAAAAATGGCCGTATTTTCGTGTGGATGGATAACCTGTGTCACCCGTAGGAAAAGGCTTTTCTTCAGAAGCACACTCGCTGCACGAGGGCCTGGGTAACACAGGGGCGAGTTTACCTCAAGAACCCCTGGCCCATCAGCTCCCTTGCCTTGCACCCCCAGAGCCTGCTGCCCTCTGCTCCCCCTCACATCAGCAGGGAGCTCCCAACAGCAGCCAGTCACTTTGCTGAATCCGCAGACACCTTGGCATTGCCTCTCAGGACATGATCACACGACCATTTGTTTTTGAGGCACTGTAATTCTAAGAGGAATCGATCTATGAGCCAGGAAAATTGGGAACTGACCACCTATTAAGAAACGCAAAATACTGCCTTGTAAAAGTTACTGATAAATGTATGTGGATATCCAGAAATAAGGTTAAGCTGCCCTATGTGTATGGCCTCAAAGTGAGTTTAAAATACAAGCAGCTGGGAGAAAAATCCAACTGGTCGGGTGACTGTTTTCTAAAAACACATTAGACACACTATTGCCACAACAAATCAAACCCAACAGCCAATGAAGCAGTAATCCTACAGAAACAACAAAGGCTTCAAGGAATATAAAATACAGGAAAGGAATATAAAATACATGTCACAGAGGTATTTTGCTAACAAGTGTATGGCTGTAAGAACTAATGCAAAGGTAATGAAGGATACCTATTACTCACACCGTACAGGGACTGGATACACCTTAGAACAGCCACAGAAGAACGTTAGAATAATTTCAAGCATAAAAAACCCAAAGGGATGATTTCATTAAGACTACTGGAATGCAATTAAGACTGTCACACAACAAAGATCATATGCCTTCAGAATCAGATTCACCCTCATTATACATTCTAAACCTAAATTAAGACGTCAAGATAACATTAAAGCAACATTTGCAAGCCTGGATGAAGGCAGCAGTAAAACGCTCCCATTACTAACACTTCTGTCCTGCTCTGTGGAAGAGCATTTGATGGAAAGAAGTCTCACAACTGGCGAGGAAGTGGACACATGGGAACTCATGCACACGATTACTCAGTTGTAGTATCCAATAATTGTATCTGGAATCACAAATTTATTGCAAGCCAGTAGCTGTACTGCAAATCCATTCCACATTTCCTCAAGACTATGTGAGCATTCTGATCCTAACAACACAGAAGTTGGGGGGAAGCAAAACTGGTACTCGCAAGTGAATAACCAGTAACAGAGGCACCACAGCAGCGCACTGTGGTTCTTACCTTAGAATTCAGCATGATTTCAGGAGCCCTGTACCAACGTGTGGCCACATATTCTGTCAAGAAACCTGTGTGATCATGATCTGGATCTGCAACACGAGCCAGTCCAAAGTCACAAATCTGGTTTCAAAGAAATTAATAATAAAGAAAAAAAAGCATATTAGACATACAGTTTTCAATACTACAACATTACTAACTTACCTGTCCCCAACCCGTGATGTGTGATGGTAACTTATATTTTTGGAAACGAATTATTGCACAAAGATTAAACAAAATGTTTTGGAGTAAGTGCAAAGAGTATCCAATGAGGCCGTGCAGTGGCCGAGAAGAATAAACAGTTTGGGAAAAAAAGGTGTTCCTGGTGCAAAATTTCTGTTCTACTATGGGCTTACTTAACACCTCCTCTGCCAGACAGGTGGCAAGACATACTGCTCCAACCATTATTGGAAATTTACCAGAAAATGAAAAGAGAAAGAGAATAAGATTTCCAGAAAACAGAATTACAGACCAACACATTTGTAGCCAAGTTCAATACCCCTTTTAACAAAAGCTACCATCATAACTGCAACTTTGCACAAGAAACATCCTATCCAATCATGAGATAATGGTAGACTGGAGAGATTATAGGTTGCTGAAGGAAGCATGAGTTTAAAAAAACCTCACAAATATAATCTCAGCTCTGTATCAGGAAAATAGTTTTAGCTAACCATGAAGAGAAAAACAAACTCTGATCTAGACTAGTCAGTTCAGCAAAAGAGGAAAAAGTGTTTTTAGCTATACTCCAGTAAGCAGGTTCCACAGCTTTCAGAACTAATGAAGTTAAGAACATTGAAAATGGGAAGAAAGACTGTGTTCTAGAGTACAGCAGCTGATCCTTTCTTACCTTCCAAAAGGTAAATAGCAATCTTGTTGAGCAGCACATTAGACATATTCATATGCTTCTGCTACCACCAAAAAAATGCCAGTTTATGATAAGGATCAATTTCCACATGAAACGTATTTGCATGAAAGAATATGTACTCTTAGAAAAACAAGGCATCTAATATAGGACTGGCAAACAGTTAAGAGGGTCCTCTGATGCATATGTTTTATAATAGCATACTCTTTGATAGTTGTGTACACTATATTAAAAATGTGAATAACATGTTGTAGTCAATAAAGACTGTAATGGATAATCCTACCAAAAATGCAAAAACCTCACTGGACCCTGGCAACCTACTCCTTTATTTTCCTGGAGGGACAGCCTGTGAAACCACTGATAGATCAGTTACGAAAGAACTGATTCAGCTGACTAAAAGCTACATATAAATGACAAGATTCAGCAACTGCCTGTTAAACAGAGAGACTGAAGAAAAGGCAGTGATCAAATTCATAAGTCAAACTGAACAGGATGACTTCTCTGACTTTAGCTACATATTAAAAAAATCCAAACCCCTGAATTCTTAGAAAACAAGACCAGAAAGAACTGTTTAAGCATGTCAAGGTTTTCCCTGGCTACGGAAAAAGAGCAGCTGCCTTGTGTGCAACTAGCAGCTTACATATCGGTATAAATAATCATAAGAGTCTCCTGTAAAGACAGGAGAGAAGAAACTGTAGAGGACAGCTTTATGGATTTCAGAAAATAATTATGCAGGCAGACAAAACTGTTGTAATCTCTTCCTCCTAACCTCAGAAAAAAGATAGATAAGACTACAGGCAAGGATTATAGTATTACACATAAGCAAAGTGCTATGATTTGTTACTATTAAGACAAAATAAAAAGGCCACTCTGGCCCACAGTGAGGAGAAAGAACTGAACTACAGAAGGTGTCTGTGAATCTCTCAAGTAGAAAAATGCACATGGGATGGAAAAGAAGACTAATGACAAAGAGAGCTTGTTAAAATGACAAAAAAACCCTGCTGACTAGAGCAGAAACAGGTTAAGCAGAAAGAAGAAACACCATTAGTGAGAAAGGCATCAAGGTTGAAGCTGCAAGAAAGAGGCGCTTGGCTGTTAGCAGTGTTTTCACCAGCTGCGGAGCTGACCAGGAGCATTAGCAGGGCAGAATAAAAGAGAGGCTGCAGAGGCCAGCATTCTGCCTCAAGGCCTGTGTGCAAGGGAGGAAGCACAGGGACTGGCTGTACTCTGGTGGGGGCAGACAGTTCTTGCCCTGTGGCAACAGAATGCATTTAACAAAGCAGCTACCCTATTTGGGGCGTGGGGGGAGAACTATGAGTCCACTATCCCTGTTCAATTAATTGGTGAAAGCCAAAGCACCAGAAGAAAGTAGACTTCTCAATCCAAACTAAAACAAAAGAAGAAAGAATCTGTGAAAGCAACATAATGACAAGCAAAATTTTTTTGGCATTTTGACTAAGCAGAGAAGAAAAAAACTGCATTACGGAAGACCCAGGTATGTCAGGCAGTGCTTCATGCCCTGGAGAGACAAACAGATGCTGGTGAGAGTGAAGGAATAACTTCCCCACTAAATAAATAAATAAAATGCCAGCATCCTAGTTATATATTTAGCTTCCACTTCTTGAAGACAGTGTTCTTATATCAGGTATGTTTTTATTTAAAATAGAGGTGACTTGGAATTGGATGAAGCTATCAAGCAGATGGGAAGATTTATGAAGCTCATGTACATATGACCATTTACTAAGCAAATGAAATGACACCCAACAGTGCTACTAATGTACTGAAATATCTGAAGTTGTATCATGGAGGAGTCTGTGTGCATGTATGTATCTATCTGTATAAAAGGAAACGGAGAGGCTTCCATTAAGTTTAGTTCTTAACAATAAGATGGTAGTTGAAACAGTTGTGTCTCTAAGTAATTGGTAAAATCCTGAAGCAAACAATAACGCAGTTTTCCACACACACACACAAAAAAAAAATCTTCCCCCTCTCATCATCTTCCTTTCAAGACTATCAAAGTACCTAACAATTCTTGGATGTTTAATACTTGGGAGTATTCACTATGTAGACAGAAAAGTGCAACTTATAAATAATATCACTATAGTGTGTTTTAACCAAGTCAAAGGAGCAGATACTCAGCTGGAGTAAACTGGTACACTGAAGACACCGCAAAATATACTAGTTGAGAATCTGTTTAAAATAACTTTGACTCATTTTCTGAAATATTAATGCCACTGGCCTAGGAAAATTCTATGGTCATGGGAGTTTTTATGAAGCTTATTTCATTTACAGAACTGCAAAACAGGCCAAATTGTTGGATGCGAATAATCATGAAAGCATATGAAAATATTTCTAAAAATGTTAGATATTATTTTAAAGTATATTCCAGCCTGCAGCATGTCAATGTACATGAATCTCATTCATGAGAAAGATGCCAGGCTGCAAGGGAGGAGATCAGTATCTTTATTACCCAGGACTATCACTGGAAAGAGATCCCAAGGTAGTAGTTTTCATGGACTTTCAAATCTAGTATTTCACTGAAAATATGTAACAAGAGACAGTAGTTAAGATAAATGATATACTTTCACAAACTTTCATTCGTTATGTGATAATTCATATTTAAGGTCTCATTTAAGTCTGTAGCATGGCCTAAGGAAACAGAAGTGCAGATCCTAAAGCTGTTTGTCCTGAGCCTTTCAGCTGCTTAGGATCCTATAGGGTTCACAGACAAATTTTGTCAATAGACACATACATTTCTTTCCTGGAAATGGAATCTATGATCCAGAGGTCAAGATCATGTTTAAGGGAGAAGAAAGATGGAGCTCTTGTTACAACCTGTAGGACTCAGCTCCAGAAGAGATCAACAGTTTGCTCTCATAATGCCATTAAAGAAGCTAACAGCATTACCACTGAAGATGAACAAACTTTCTATTTTCTTTCTTTCAAAAGTGTGATTTTAAGTTGTTCATTTTCACAGTACGCTGTGTTTTGAGTTTACGTACAATAATCAACTGTGTAATCATGCACATGCACATAGCTGACACACACACTTGCAGAACAGCCCTGAAAGAAACAAGTTAGTACAAGTTCACCATTCATCAGACAAGGCCTAACACGTACCAGTTTTCTCTCCAAATCTGTTGCTTAAACTTTAGATGTGGTATTAATACAACACCAGAGTTCCCTTTAGGTTATGAAAAAGCATATGCTCTGACATACAGACTATCATATTCTGTACTAGGAAGCATATACTGCAGTTGCATGCTGTTTTTAATATCTTATAAAGAAATAATAACAGAAATCACTAAGATCACATATTATTTTGCCACACAATGAGCTTACCTTCTTTTTCATGATGATCTTACTTGTGTTAAAACATTGCCTTTTATTATTTTATTGCCTTTAATTGCACAGAACTACACTCAAACTTGTTCTTTCCTGCTTCTATTACGCAGTCATTGTAGATTTTACTCTATTTTTTTCATTAAGGGGTTAATGCCTTGAAGGGATCTGATGTAATAAACTGCTGAAATCTCACAGCAAGCGTCTAAGGTGACAAGTCCAGCAGCACTGTGCATCAGGAAAAGCTGACAAGTAGCAGCGGGAATGTAAAGCAAACTGATCATGTAGCCAGTATTTAGCATGGACCAGCATATGAACAGCAAGGACTTTTCTCAGAATTGTGACAAACTGGTATGGACAGCAACTGGTTTACATTTTGAAGAGGTTATTTTTGGTTTGCTTGGGCTTTTTTAAATTAGAAAGCTAGAGCTACTATAAAAAATGAAGTGTAATTAGGTGCAACACAATATGCAACAAACACAGCTGTACCAAGTCAGATCAAAGTGATGTAAGCTCTGTAATTGCACTCCATCAGTGGCCAACTGCAAATACATCATGTGAAGTATAAAAGGGAACATACTCCAGTGCTTCTCTACTAGTGTCTCATCTTCCGTGGATCTGCCACTCTAAACCAGAGGGAGCATTCAATAGCTTTTTCTTCTAATAACTTGTTCGGTGTTTTTTTAAGTTACATTATCTGTAATATCCAGTGCTCTGTGGCACCAAATTCCACAGTTTAACAATGCTGCAAGTTAACTACTACATCCTTTCACTCTGAACATGCAACCTGCTCCTTTCATTCCCACCACCACCACCTTTTTAACAGGTAAAGACAGTGAAGAACTGTTCTCTATTCAACCTCCCTATGCCACTAAATTTTATCAAATTCTATTGTATTCTTTCTTTTCCTCAAGCAGTATCTTTCAGCAGAGAACTACGCTATATAGTTCTTCCTGAGAGGGAGAAAAGTACTTTGAAATCCTGGTCTCCTCATTTTTAACAGGATAGCATAGGGAAAAGTGCACGATCACAGAACTGAAGACTCAAGAACAACAGAAAGTTACAGAATGGCATGTTTTCTGTTTTATTCTCTATTTCTGTTCTAATTCTTCACACCTGGTTTGCTTTACTGAATGCCACTAAGCATTGAGCTGACATTTTCCAAGAATCGTAACAGCTCTAATATCATCCTTCTGTAGTATTTACTAGTAGAGAGCCCATCACTAGAAATGTAAATTAGGAATGTTCTCTCCCCGAGTAATTGCTGTGCGTTTAATCAGCACTCAATTTCATGTGCCATTTTAGTTGCCCACTAACATGAAGTCCTTTTCCAGCAACAAACAATTAACAATTTAAACAGAGAAACCAGGACCTGAAATACAGAGTTTTGAGTTTACTTTGTAAGTAAACACAATTTTGCTTCAGATAAGTATTTTCACCTAGCTTTCAAAGAGGCTGTTTCAAAGTCAGCCTCCAGATGGAAACAGTGATGCACTCGTTAAAACAGCGTAACAGTAAATTCTTAGTCACTCAAATCTTAATAATTATTTTATCAAAACCAGTGTTTTGGCAGTCTTTCCAGGATAAAAATTGCATTCCCTAGTAACAAAAACACATCTGTGGTTATAGCAGGTGGTTTATGAAGATCATGGGAGCAAAATTTCTGACAAATTTTAGCTAACCTTGAGATCACAAGTGGTGTTAAGCAGCAAATTCGAAGGTTTGAGGTCACGATGAAGCACATTGGCCGAATGGATATATTTTAACCCTCTCAGAATCTGGTAAAGGAAATAACAAATGTGGTCGTTGCTGAGGTGTTGAGTCTTTAAGAGCTTGTAAAGATCTGTCTCCATAAGATCTTGCACAATGTATCTGTAATGCATCAGATGTAAGGCAGCAACACAAACGTGGCATGATGTTAGATATCAACATACAGTACCCAATGAAACTTCCGTAACAATCTCTCTTATTTGTCTGTTTCATGACAATTGTGAAACTATGTAGTTGCTTCTTGCTTTACAAGTTTTGAATCAAATCAATCCTGTTACATGATGCAGCCCTTTACAGAATTAAGAGGCACCAGCATTTTTATCCTCTCAAATTAATCATCATAAACCTCTATTTGTTTATATTAAAGCCTGATCTTTATTGGACTCTTAATAAGATCAGATTCCTATCCTGCTTGCCAAGAAATAAAGGCTGTTTTTTAGTTTAATGAATAATAAGCTTCTGAGATACTTGCTTCCAGTTGCCTAAAAGCATGAAGGCAGAAGACCTGATCATTTCTGATCCGTCTTCTCCGCCACCTCTCCGCTTCAAAAATTCAGCAGTTTTTCTCCTTTACTATATATTTATTATGATACATTGAATGTAACAGTCCTTTGCTTACCAAAATTGAATCCTAATATTTTCAGTCAGATTGTTGTTTTGTTTTTTTTTTTTTTTTCCTAAGATTGGAATGAACATAAAGAAAAGGGATTTTCTTCTGCTTTGGTAGGAATGAGTTAAGTAAAATTTTCTTCTCCCTTAATTCAGTTTGTCTGCAAAATCCTTGAGGTGTAGTTCCATGATCACTTTTCACCAAAACAGGATTTCATTAAAAACATGCTACTATTGCCATTCCACTTGGGCGTTTCCATCCTCTCCTCTGGGTATTGAGACTGGATCACACAACTAGGACATCTTTTTAAGGGCAGCATGCACTGACACTAGTCAAAATAGCCACAGAAATGCAACCTCAGAACCCCCACATAAGACCAGCTGAACTCAAATAATATATTGTTAATTTATGAACTGAAAACATTTGACCTAGATTCAGTTCAATTTCTGCCTGCATGCATTTAGGCTTTTTATTGGACAGACATCTGCAAAGACCCACAAAACCAATAAGACCAATAAGAACCGATGTACACAGACTTGGAGAAATTAAGCTGGTTGGCTCTAAACTAGGCCTTGTATCTCAAGTAGAGTCTTCCAGCTAAGACTAGACTACTTCATGCATCAGATATCCACAGGAAGTTGTATCTATATAAAGCCAAGTTTCCCATGAAAGAACAATTAGTAAAACAAAAAGGCCAGATTTGCATACATTAATCAAGCATGTTTACCTGCCCATGTTTCTGACTTTTCACATATGCATTTTCAAATATGCAAAACTGGGGGCTGTGTTTTATCTCCCCCCACCCCATCCCCCTCCAAGATGTGTTCATTCTATTCTTTAAGAAAATTTCAGACAATTATAGCAGGGTCTGGACATTTTATTTCCTCCTCAGAGCAATCAGTTCTAATAACAGCTCTATTAAGAGCACGTACAGTTTTAGGATTAAGTGACTTAACTAAGTCATCTCTACAATGTAGAGTTCTTTGCCTTGGAAGACAGAAATTAAAATTTTTTTTCTTTTCCTAAAAAAGAACAAACAAAACTAGCATTCAACCAAATATTAAATCTATGTATGTATCTATAAACTGTTCAAACACTGTGAATTTCCCTTTCAATTTACTATAATAGAAGCCAACTTTTAATAAAATTCAGTAAGGAAGAGGATGAAAAAGAAGAAACAATCAAAACAGAGAAGATGGCAACCATCACTCACTATGCAAAATAACTTAAAACTTTGAAAGGATACACATCTTTCATTTGTTCAATAGTTGGAGCTCTGATAATATCATTTATTCCAATAATGTTCTCATGCCTGAAGCGCAGTAGGATCTTAATCTCTCTCAGAGTTCTCTGGCAGTACGTCTGATGCTCAAAAGGACTGATTTTCTTTATAGCAACTCGAACTTTGTTGACGTTATCATAAGCAGAACTAGAAGAGAATCAATAACATTAGTTATAAGGAATATTAAATTCATTCGATTTAGAAGGCAATAACGTGAATTCAGTTGAATATAGGGGCTGTGCATTTGTTTTACATTTATTTTTATCAAAAGAAGAGAGGCGTCAGCGGCATATATCTTTTAGTTTGACAAAGAGACAAAATACTGTTGTTCTATCTCCAACATATTTGGGTATCTACAAGTCATTAGCTTTCCCGACTGACTTGGAGTCTGCTGACTCTTGGGTACCTGAACAAAGAAGGAAATATTCATCATCTTTATCAGCCTGTGGAACAAACAAGTTTGAGTCTATATGCTGCAATCAAGAAGTTTGAGAGAAAAAGCTCATCTTGAGTTAACCCATTCACTTTGTGGTGCACAAAAGCCTTCAAAAAGCATCCTTCAAGCAGCAGAATTCCACATCCTATGTCCAACTCCTGCAAGTAATTCCAACTGTCACAACCTTTTACTCCTCCATTGAGCTACACTGTCAGCACCTCCAAGAAGTACAGACATGGAAGAACAAAAGGGATGGAGAACTTGTGAAAACACATTTCCAAGTTCAGTTCTAAAAATAACAGAGTTTGAGAAGGATGTTTCCAACTACACACATGATGCGAAAGCAAGCAGCAGCACAAGGAGGTAACACAGTGATTGTGACCCATATTAACACACACACTAGCTGCTACATTTACAGTACTGTCATTTCAGAAGCTCGGAACAGCATTCCCAGCTATACCGATAAAGTGGTCTCAGTATTTCTGTTCAAAATGCCTACATATTTATGAAGACTATCACAGCCTGAATCTAATAAAAAGACTCAGCGAGACATACATAAATTTCAAAAATTTGGACTCATTATTTAGTAAAAGTGTTATGAATCCTTACAAATGTTAGGATGTTTTCTATAGTCTTGCTTATGTGAATGACAAAGCATCTCATTATAATAATTTCACTTAGTATTAAAAGTATATGGTAATTTAATTACTCAGAATTTAAATTTGTGTATATAATTCTTGTTCCTTTCAAATTTCTTTTTGCTCACTATTGCATTGTTTGGAAATTAAAAAATAATCAAGCCTACATCTAAACATTTCTGTTAGCCTCAACTATTTCATATAAAAATACTAGCCAAACAGGCTTTACGTTGCAACAATTTCTATAATTGAGTCCCAGTACATTCTTTCAAACTCTCTTAATTGGCCTTACTCTGCTGAGATGTCCAGGTATTGGTGATCAGGTAAAGCAGAATGGAATATGAAAATCCAATTAGAAAGGAGACCTAGAAGGAATTCAAATGCCTGGCCACGTCAAGGTGGTTCTACCACTAAGCAGATTTATGGTGCAACAAGGTGGTTTTGAGACAGTACTGTTACCACTGTATGCAAAGGTGTTTAATATTTCTCACTTTCATTATTAAGAACTGCATAGAATTTGTGCCACCAGTAAGATCTTCATACAGTTCATGCCTATGTAGTGACATCCTTTTTGCATGATTTTTCCACAGAATCACTTTGACTTGTCTGCATCTGTAACTCCAGTCTATAACCACAGACAGACTGCACAACTTATTTGCCTCTGGAAACACTGAACTCAAATGCTCCACAGGGTGCTTTGAAATTCCACACGCTAAGCAAGTATTCATTACAACTGTTGCTATTACATATGTATAGATAACACGTTAGCAGTTCATAAGTCCCAAAATAGATAATAACAAAGTCCCATAAGTAGAACTTGGCATAGCCTTCAAGAGCACTTCATCTGGAGTAATTTTCTTAGTTAATCACCTGTGGTATTTACAATATACCAGTAAGGTAAGTCACAAGCAGAAAACAAAACTAGTAATTCTGAAGCATGAACAACCTGTATTTGGGAAAGAAATTAAAGAATCCTATGGACCATTTTATCTCTATAAACAAACCTCCTACCTTCTTCTATGTATTGACTTAAGCATATTTTTCTCCCACAATGCAGAATCTTACTTCCTTTCAAAGTACTGGACAGCAGCAGCTATGAAGAACAGAAACAGGCAAAATGCCAATATTTACCAATTGATGCTGCTTAAATAAAAGCTCCTAATCTCTTACAATATTTGATAAACCTCTAAGTTATTGCTTCTCAAGCAAAAGTTGGTTACTGATGAAAAATATGCATTTTTCCCTGTACAGATGCAATGAACTTCAATCCATCAATTAAATACACCAAGATTTCCTCTCTTGTAGCTGTTTCACTTAATAGTTCTTGAAGCATTTTCTTAGCAAAAGGTTTATGCTGTTTTATAGAAAAGGATGGGTAATTTTGCTTTCAGATGGTTCAACTACAAAGCATATGATGCAGTGTGGAAAAAAGCTGACTATTTGCAGGAAAGATGCAATCAATTTCCTCTCCAGTGTACATTCTGCACACAGTCATTTTTCTGTTTGTATCAGAAGATCTCACCACACTAATGTAGCTAAGCATGCATTGCTGTTACCACTGCAAAGCCTCAGCTAAGGAGAGCAAAACCAAAACACTATCTAGTTGAAACATTAAGAGGGACACTGGATTTATGTTGTCCAGAAAAACTCATATTAAAAACTCATAACTTACAGAAAAACTCATATTTCAGAAACTTGATAAAACATATGCAAGATTATATTGATTCATATGAGCAAGAAGCTAATCATACAAGCAGTTAGGTACACTTGTTTATGCATAATATTTGAAATATCATGCATAATACAGGTACACAGAGAATATGTATTAAGTTAACACTATTTCACAGAGTCACAGCCCTCAAAGCAAATATGGCTTGGAGTAAACTCTGACCCTTCAAAAAACAGTGCTTTTTTCAATTTGACACGTTACAGAAAACTGTAAAAGCTAGATATTAGACCAAACTTCAGTAGAACTGAAGTCATGTGTTCTCTCATGCACATATGCTACATTCAGACACCTACTTGGCCTATGAAACCATATAGCATTATCTATTTCACTTCCTAGAAAACACCATAAACTAACAAAATTGGGTCCTTCATAGGTCAGACTGAAGCATTTCCCAAAGCGTTCCCTGTTCCTTACAATCTCCATTCAACTGCCACCTACCACCAACACCAGATTTACCCACTGCTCTCCAGAACTCCACTGAATATGCTGCTCACACACAGTGTCCGTTTGTAGTGTTTGCAAACAAAAACTATAAAAAGTGCAAATCTAAACCCTCAGTGCATTAACTCAGTGCAGTTAATGTAACAGCTTATCACTTAACACAGGATTCATCTTGCTTAGCCTTAGCTAGAATTAGAGATCTAATTTTACAACTAATAATCACTTGCGCTCCCCCTACAGTCCAAAAAATAATAGCTCCACATAGAGGTCCCATCCACCACGCAGCACATCCTAAATTTAGATTATTTGCATTCTGGAAATGCCATCCCAGTGTGCACAGTCTAACCTAGTTGTCTAGACTGTCAGCTTCTACTAAATCTCACAACAACTGTTTATATTTTCACTGAAGCAGTTAACTGGGACACCTTCTAAAGGCAAGAACCTCCTATTATCTAGACTTTTTTCCAGAGAATAGAAAAATCTGTAAAGTGGGAGTAACAGTTCATACACTAACAACTTCTAGAGTGATAATTTATAGCTTTTAGTTTCTATTAATTAACCCCATGTACCAATCACTGCACACAGAACTTTCCCTTTAACAGTCTGTATGTTATTCACATTATTATTAAATCTAGCTACTGACACTTCCAATATTCAGAAGGATTTATTTCCACCCCAGTGATGTGCAGCTTCACAAGCTGATGCAACCATTCAGCTGTGAGTGCTATTTATCTGTAAAGTGCTAAATTTAAATATAGATTTTGCAACTGCCCAACTCTTAGTATACACAACATTATTCCTATTTCGAGCTGTGGTTACTATCTTGTGACAACCTGCAATAGCACCATTATTTAGTACTTTTAAGACACCACATGAAAATCAATATGAGCCCTAGCAGTACAGTTTATAATTTCTAATACTAAGTATCTTGTAAATATATAACAAATCTTTGACTAAGTAAAACATCTTGCACAGCTGTATGAAATAAACAAACAAGCATTTATAGCCCAAGAAGTTCCACCACACAACTTTTAAAGGCAGTATTTTAGCCTTCTACTGCTCTGGTACCAACTTCCTTTTTACAAAGAAGTCTGGGGTGGGGCTACTTCCAAACGCTATGACCAGAAAGTGTATTGCAGTGTCTGAGCAGCCTATACAGAACGCCATACTAATTGCTCAGATGAACCTCTAACATGTAGCCTCTCTCCCATTAACTCCTTCTCAAGGAAGGAAAGCTTTTCACCAGACAGATTGGGACAAGTGCCAAAGCTTAGCTCCTTCTACCCACAATGGCTGCTGCGTGTTCTTCCATCCATTTCTATTCTTCACGTGTTTCATTTTGGAGCAGAGCTGGAACAAGTGAGAGCATGCTGCAGCTGCCGGGAGGAAAGGAGCCAGCTCCTGGCAATAGTTACATCCCACAGAGGGCTGTTTCTTCATATAACCATTGAAAAACAACTGCCTACTCTGTCGGCACCCCCATCCTCAATACACTCCTCTGCCACGCTGCCTGAAGGCTTACCCCATCATGGGATAGTCTTCCAACACTTCTAGGATTATTCGCCTTATGACTGTTTTACAGGCTGCTCTCCATGTATGCATACATACACATAAAAATACACAATGCTACCAGCAAGCATCCTAATTACAACTCTAAATAAAAGACTGATTTAAAGTTTAAAAGGGATGTTTTATCAGTAGCTTTGTGTTGCTGTGGAAACAAGATTCCAAGGGCATATCCAGGGATAAGAATCTTTCTGAAATATTGAATAATTCTGCTTGCAACCAGGAGAGGAAAGGCAAAAATAATTTCCAGCAAACAAGCTGATCTATGAAGATCTTTAATCTTTTCATTCAGTCTACATTTAGCTCAATCACAGACATTTCTACAACATGTTGACAT